GTCCTGCTCATCTGAGCATGGGAGGGAAGCGGGGTGTGCATGTGCGCGAGCAGGAGCATGCATGGGAGGTCGTGTACATGTTATTTAGTGTCTCCCACTACAGAAGCTTTTCTGGGATATAGATGTGCATGTTAGACTAGGAAAATTATGCTTAAGTGGCATAAAAAGAGATATTAGCTAGTGTTGTCTTCGCATTGTGTGTAGGTTTGACTAGTAATAAGAGATGCAAAACTCTGCTAGGCTTCCAATTCCCCGTAAGAGCACATGTATCAAACTGAACTGAATGTTCGCTGAAGACACAAACCCAAGATGTTTACAGCATTCAGAGCAATAGGAAAGCATACCTCATGCCAGTCCTGGAGTGCCTCTCGCTCATCACTGCAAACCCTGCCCTCCCTTCACATCTCACTTTTCCCTCCCGATTCCCCTCTCGCTGTGTTGTCCTGGTGCAATCCCCTCCTTCTCCTTATCCTCACCTCCTCCAAGCGCTCCTGTCTGTGCCAAACCATCCTTTCTGCCAGCACTGCTTGTCCCCGCGCATCAGCCCTGGCCTCGCATCCTGACCTCTAGCCCCAAATCCACTATCCTTGTGTATTCCTCCTCTCTCCATTTCTTTTCATCTCCCCAGACGCTTGTCTCGACGCTTGTCGTGGGCCTTTCCATCCCACGTACCTCCTACTGTTGCTGTAAAGCTCTTAGCAGCTATCCCTTGCCCATTACATAAGAAGAAAATGCTCTGCATAATTTCTGCATCATTTTTCATCCCTGGGGCTGCTGCAGTCATCTCGACTCTAGCTACTGTGTTTTCTCTGGCATTGTATCCTAGAAGTGGAATTAAAGTCTATTTTGCTGCTAGTCCAGGCTGCTTTTCTCCCCCTGCGCACCCCTTGGCTTGTCCCTGGTACCGTGTCTTTCTTACATGCTTTGCTTCCTGGCAGGGTCTGAGATGGGGGCAGTGCTCCCGTTCACGGTTTTCTATCCCTGAGTGCGGAGCCAGTAGCTGCTTTGACAGGGTCACAGCTGTGCTTCCTTTTAGCCTTCCGATTAAAAGAATAGAGCGTAAATAAAGGTGTGTGTGTTGTATTTGCTTAGCAAAATGAGTTGTTTTGCTCCGTGCCCCGCTTTTAGCTCTGCAGGAGGTCTGTGTCTCTGATGTGAGACTGTGTGCCCTAAGCTCACCTGGGTCTTGGGGCAGTGTGTGCACCGGAGGGAGGTGGCAAAAGGAGACCCAAGAAGCCTTCTTTGCAAAAAGAGGAAAAGAAAAGGCAGACCCTGCTGCTGGAGAGACTCGATATCAGGGAGGGCCAGGGATCATGGTGGGGATCGCTTGTCTGGTGGCCACGTGCCTCCCATTGGGAGCTCCACCCAGCCAGGATATGCTCAGGTTGGATACCAGTCCCTCCCTGCTGCTCCTGGCATGATTTCCTTGCTGTCCTGAGGCAGCATGAGGGAACTGCCATCAGAGTGGAGGCTGAGCTCCTACGGCTGTAGACACAGCAGCACCTTTCACCCTTTCACGTGCCGCATCCCCCAGGGAGCATCTAAAACAGGACAGGTCAGGAGCAGCTCAGCTTTGTGTTTGTGGCATAGCGCAGCAACGTTGCCCCAAGAGAAACATCTTTACATTGCTGTGCCAGTGCATGCAACCACCAGCTTAAAAGGGGTGGGGGAAGGATGTGTTTAATGTTGTGGTTGGTTATGTGAGAGAATTGGCCTCTGTGGGATTACCCATGATGAAAAGAAAGCAGGTAAGGAGTGCTCCCCAGCGGGTGGATCCCCCTTCCTTAAAACAAACAAACAAACAAACAAAACAACGAAAACAAGATTGAATATGTCACCATTCTGTAACCTCTCTTCCCTTTCCTCTACAAGCAAAGTGAGTCAGGCACATGGAGTTCAGAATTTTCCTTAACGCCTATGGCATCTGCATGCTCCATGGGATGAAGGGGATCCCACTGGGAGGAGGAGGTTCTGAGGAAGCTGAGTCAAGAGCCAAGCACGAGTCCTGACTGAGGTACGGTTGAAGATGTCTTTGCTCCTGGGGACACAGGGTTGTGGGTAGCTCAGAGAGGGTTTAGGAGGGCCCTAGTATGTGGAGCTAATTCCAAACAGTCACCTAGTATCAGGACAGAAGGACCAACTTTTAAGACTTTTCCCATGCCACATTTCTCTTTTAACTAAATCCTTAAGTTGAAAAGCATCTACAGTGTGCAGGTGCTACCGATTTTGTTGGATCAGTAGCAGGAGCAGCTGGACAGGACACAGGCTGTTCAGTCCCATTCTTTTCTATTCAGCATCGAGGGAAATGCCGGCTGCTGTCCCGACCCCAGCCCCAGGGGTGAGTGTGCATTGCTCGGCCTGCGCCAGCATGTGCCGTCCTTTAGCAAGAACGGTTAAATAGATCCTGTTTTCTTCTGGAATCACCACAGAGGAATTTTGGAGCCCCTCCTTTCTCTCTCTCATTTCTTGCCCTAATTCTCTTCTCTGTTTTTATTGGTTTTCCTTTTCATTTGCCATTTTCTTCCCCCTAAGCCTCACTCAGAGCCAAGATGATTTGCATGCATCCGAGGGAAGAATCTGCCATTAGCACTGCTCTGTCTCCCCTCTTTGATAAGATATACTTAGCAATTGCTTTTGGGTGGCTTTTTTTTTTTTTTCTGGCTGTTCAGTTACTTTAAAAGAGCAGGTGCTGGGAGCGGAAAGAGAAGATTAAAAATACCTGCTGTCAGATCCCTCTGCCTTTGCGGATGCGCTCCGGTGCTGCACAAAGAGAGCGCGTGAGCTGAGTGGATAACAGCTGCCCCTCGAAACCCTTATTTGTAATTCTGAATTTTATTTCCAATAATCTCTTTCCGCACTGCTACAAATTTCCTGAGCCGCTCTTTCCTCCCGTGCTCCATGCAGCGCTCCCTGCTCGGTGATCAATGAAGCAACCTCGGGGTTTTGGCAGACGACCCGGCCGCTCACAGCACCTGCCGCAGCGCCTCTGTCTTTCTCCCCAGGCTCCCTCCAGTGCCCAACATCCACCCTTGTTTCACTGCAGCTCTTTCTCTTTCGTGTCTCTTCAGGGAAAAGCTTTCCAAGGCAAAGCTCTCTCTCAAAGCACGTTGCGCTAAATGGCAGCTGGGTCAGTGCGTTTTCAATACAGGTTTGTTGTTGGTCCCTCCATAACTACCCACCTTTGCCACCCTGCAACGAGGCAGGTGTTGGTGAGTGCAGGCAGCAGTACGCAAAGCTCAAGTGATGGTACCAGAAATGCTCCTCACTGGCTCACAGCCCTTGATGGCACTTTTGGGGCACATGCGTAAAGGTGCTGTGCCTCTGTCCCCAGTCCCTCCTTCCTTCTCTTATATCTACTTCATTTATGTGGTCTTGGGGAGGGAAAAATTATTTTCTTGCTTTGCAAGGCTCTTCCTACCCTAGAAACAACAGAAGTGAGGCCTGGGGCTAGGAGGCTGTGTGCGGGGTTTGCTGGGCAGCGAGGGGGTAACCAATAGCTGGTTCCCCTGAGGATGACACTGCTACCCTGGCAAACACTGCTGCACACACAGCTCCTTCACTGCAGGCACTTATGTGACCTATCCCTGATCCCACTGTCACAAGCCAAATGTCCCCCAGCCCGGGTGACACCGGCACATGCTCAGCCGAGAGCCAGGACCTCCCCAGTGGGGGCAAAACACAAGGATCATCTCTGTGGTGCTGGAGGAGTCGGGCACGCCGCAGGACGGGCGCTGGGCCACGGCATTGAGGTGCTGGCTGCTTTTTGTGTTCCAAAACAAGGGCTGATAATGCCGGTGACTGGGCTGGAGAGCTCGATGATACAGGAAGCACGTAATCAAATCAGATCTAGGACAGAATAAAGACATCAGAGGACGCAGACGTAGCTGGACAATTGCATAACCTTAATGAAGAGGAGTGTATTATAACACATTGCATCCACTGGAGAGCTGCTTCCTTTTAAGCAAAATACCTTCTTTCTTGCTGGAAAAGGAGAGCAGGAAAGCTTAGGCCCCAGAGAGGAGCTGAGAACGTACATTTGGGCCCTATTGCTGTTACAGCTTTTCCGGCTATACATAAACAAGACACTTGAGTTGTTTCTTCCTACGCGCCATGGCGGGAGAGGAGGATGGGTCTCCCCACTTCCCCTCTGGAGCTGGCGTGGGGGGTGATGTTACTCTGTACACTGCAGCTTCCCCTCCACAGCTTCTCCAATGGCCACGATGCACGGGCCATTCCCTGTGCGTGCTTCAGTTCATGAGAAATGTTGGTGCTGGCCACCGAGTTGATCACAGCACAGGCAGAGACGGGGGGAAGGAAGATGAGGGGTGCAAACCCCAGTAGCTGGACCCTCCCTTTGGCCTGGGTTCCTTCTTTGGTTCCCATTATCATCCATCCTTACGGGATATTTTCCTTGCTTGGCCTCTCCTTGGCATATTTCTTCCCTCCTCCTCTTCCACCACAGACCTGGCAGGAAGTTTGTGGTGAAGTACAACCCGCAGGTCACTCCTGCCACCATGACCGCTCAAGCACCACATTTATTCGGGCTGCAGCCCAACGATGTGACTGGGTTGGTGTGGGAATAATGCTCCCTTTCGCTCCTCTCAAACCCAGGCAGTGGCATCACCTGTGCCCCTTGTACCAGCTGTTCACCCAGGGCAAAGCAGGCGCTTCACAGTGCCAGGAGAATGGGGAGCCACCATCCAGCGGGATTCAGTAGGAATGCTGCCGGCCTGCCCGTCCCCACCGGCGCCCGCTGCCTTTTCGCCGCTCTCCGGGACGCCGTTGGGAATGCGATGCTCAAGGACAAGCCTGGGCCTCCCGACCCCGCCTCCGCGCTCCTTGGCAGCACCAAAGCAACCGGCTATCGCGGCGGGCGCCGCTCGCCGTTGGCTGCAGGCCGGAGCGGTGCGGGGCTCGCCATGCGCAGCCCTCCCACTTCCCCCGCGCTATAAAGCGCCGCTCTGCTCGCTCCCCCGGCAGCCGCAGGTGCTGCACGAGCTGCTGCGTGCCCGGGCGCCCAGCCCTCAGCATGTGCCGCGGCTGGGCCGCGCTTCCCGGTGCTTGCCTGGAGAGGTAGGAGGCTGCTTTCTGGGAAGAGCGCGGCACGCGCCGCGGGGATGCTGCGGGAACAAGAGGATGCCTGCGGGATGGGAGCCCGCTCTGGCTGTGGGGCAGAAGAGAGCAGAGGAGCGAGGGAAGGAGCCGGTGTCGCAGGCTGCAGGGCTGGCGGGGAAGGAGGGGGCTCCAGCCAGGCACCCGGAGGAAAAAGCTCCCTGTGGTTTCTGCCTGGGGACAGCCAGGGAGGGACGGGTGCTGTGTGAGCGGTTGCCAGGGAGCGGGAGGAGCAATTTGGCGGATCATTTACTTCATATCTCCAGGCGCAAGAGAGCCGCCGACGCCGGGGGCCGCGGCAGCGAGCTGACGAGAGGGCTGCCTCAGGGGTCCGGCCCCTGCGAGTTGGCCTGGCCGCTCACCCCACCGCGACGTGGGCACCCACATCCCTCCAGCGGCCTCACAGTCCCACCTCTGCCCTTCTTCCCTTGCAGAGCCAAGGATTTCAAGACACGCTTGGGGATCCTGCTTCATAAACCAGAGCAGGGGCACAGGATGGGGAGCTCCAGCAAGCTGCAGCTGGGTGCCAAGCGGAGGTGAGCGGCGGCGTGCCCGTCGGGGGGAGCCCCATGCCGTGGGGACAGGAGCAGAGCAGCAGGACGGTCCTGTGGAGACGGTGCTGTCCCGAGGGATGCTCCCGTCTGTCTGCATGCAGAGCGCATCTCACCACCCCGCGTCCCCCCCCGCCGCCACGGGAGGCGGGACGCTTCCCCCTCCACCGGTTATAAAGTCAGACTGGGGAGCTGAGGCTCTGGCACTAGGCAAGAAACCCGGAGCCTTCCTGCCCTGCGCACGCCTGAGAGTCAATATCCCCGCTGGAGGCAATCCTTGAAGAGGGGCTCTGCGGAGCTTGTACGTGGTGCCAGGGGCTCCTCTGCCACTCCTGTGCAGCAGAGGGGCTGGCCACAGCCACACTATGGAGCTGAGGTGTCCTGATCCGGTGGGGAAGGTCGCAGAGAGGGAAAAAGAGAAAGGGAAGAGGCCCCACAGGTAATGGGGGCCACAGTTGGGTTTCCTACCCAATGGTGCTGCCTCTCTACTCACCCTGGCTCTTCCTACGTGGGACTGCTTGTAACGAAGCCTCTTTCCAGCCTTCGCTGTGGGGCAAGGAGACTCTGCCTGTGGGGCAGTAAAGCTCATGTCCTTCTGTCTTTTCCAGGGATTCCTCGAGAGAGGCGCTGGAGTGGCGAGAATCCTTCGACCAGCTCCTGAAGAGTAAAAGTGAGTAGGACTTCGTTTACTCTTGATGGGAACATGCAGGGCAAATACCGCCTCAGTGAGTAGAGGTCCGATTACATGTCTGTCTCCTCCTCAAATCGGACATTTGGGAAGTTAGGGGAGGCCCCTTCCCACTCGGGAGAGCTGATAACTTGGGTTAATGACTTTCTTGGTCAGAGACCCGCACCATTATACCTTCTCCTGAATGGGGCACAGTCACTGTCTTGCCACGCAGTGCCACTTCTTTGGGCCAAGAACACTGTCAGAGTGACCTAGAGCTGACTGTATGGAGCAGTAGTGGGATAGGCACAATGCAAAGAGCAGCAGCAACCTGATGCAACTCTCCCTTTAGTTTTATTCACGTTGTTATTTTTTGGATCACTCCATCACTTCTTGATGCCTCCATCGCCTCTTTCTTGCAGCCTCCTGCTCCTTTTCCTAATGGTCCATAAGCAACCCAAGCAGCCCCTGCTTCCCCAAGCTTCCCTTTCTGCACATGCATAAAACAGCAGCTCTGTCTCTCTGTCAGTATCTTCCACTGCACAGTAACACAATCACCTTTATGTCAGTTTTTGTTCCTTGGAAGCCTATGTTGCTGCCGTCTCTCTGTCTGACTGGTATGAAAGAATTCAGCCACTTTATTGAATTATATGTATCCATCTTCACATTCAAAATTTGCTATATATAATATGGCGCACAGGATTTCCAGGCATTGCCTCCCTCTCTCTTCTTTAGAGTGTCCCTTCTGACCTAGAGAAGGCATCTCCTTCCGAGTCTCACACACAATCCCTCCCTTACATTGGCTTTACAGCAAGAACATAGCAGCAACACTGCCAGATTTGAACGTAAACGTTGTGGTCTTCCTTAAAAGTCATCCCACTGTAACAGATAGTCCTTCCATACTGCTAGTTCAGGCTGGGCATATTTTTTTCCAGCTTTTGCTGTGTGCTGTGATGGCCAGCAAGCATCTCCCCCTTTGTAATCAAATAGATTCTCCGAGCCTAGAAGCAAAATCATTGCTGCAAGTACTCTCCCACACTCCTCAGCATCTTCCCTCTAGCTCTCAGCCAAGAGGTAAAAATAAAGCCATTGTTGCTTCGTTCCTCCAGATGTACTAGTACCTAAATGGATTTCTCTGTAGGTAGAATTAGATCTTTTCCGAAGCTGTAAAGAATATACTCCAAAGACTCATTATAGAAAGGTCAGATAAATAAAGCCAGAGGAATACTTGTCTGTGGGAAAGGATTTCACTGGAGTCTAGAGGCCAATTAGCAGAATCTCAGAGGGTGGAATTTGTCCAGCGGGAAAGGAAATCTGCAGATGTCATGGTCTGAACTCCCAGGGAGACTCTTGCTCAGCAGTGCCGCATCTGGCAGGCTTCCTTGCCTCCCAAGAAGGAGACCAGCACTCCTTTCCTCTCCTTCTCTCAGTCCAATTACCTGTTTTTCCCTTTTCCTCCCAGGTGGGGTGACTGCCTTCCACACCTTCCTGAAGACGGAGTTCAGTGAGGAGAACCTAGACTTCTGGCTGGCTTGTGAGGACTTCAAAAAGACTCGGTCAAAAACAAAGCTAGCGTCCAAGGCCAACAGGATCTTTGAGGAGTTTGTTCAAAGCGAGGCACCCAGAGAGGTAAGAACAATTTCTGATGCCTGATCTGCGGCCTTGACACTGAGCAGAGGGGCTGAAGGAATAAAACATCCTGGTGGTCTTTAATAAAGTCTTTCCTCAATTCAGTGGGAAGATTTGTTCATTCCCATTCACAAAAGCATTCGTTTTTAATGTCATGCTGTGTTCTAGAACGAAGGAATATAAAGATGGGAAATGTCTTTACTCCTATTTGGAGAAAGCAGTTTCCCTTCCCACGTGGGAGGGAAGCCAATGCCACGTGTATGTTTACGGGCCCTCCTTTCCTTGCAGGTGAACATCGACCACGAAACCAGGGAGATTACCCGGAAGAACCTCTCGGGCGCCACATCCGCATGCTTCAACGAAGCCCAGGCGAAAACGCGCACCTTGATGGAGAAGGACTCCTACCCCAGGTTCCTGAAATCCGCCTCCTACCAGGACATGACCAAGCAGGCCGCCAGCCGCTGCCTCAGCAAGCGCTCGCACACCTGAGCCGGGGCAGCGCCCGCGGTGGGGCAGGAGCTGCGGGACGGGGCGGAGGCACCGCAGCGGAGGCTGGAGCCGGAGGGGCGCTTTGGGAGGCCTGGGGACCGCGCGTGGGGCTTTGCCTGAACTCCCGGGCTGGTTTCGGGATTGCCAGGAGCGCACGCGCATCGCCTGGACCAGCAGCACCCGTGTGCAACGGGAGACCCGCACACCGCAGAGAAGGGAAGAATGAAGGATGTCACACGCGGGTTGCAAGCCCAGGGAGAAGAGAGCAGATCCCCCTGAGCGCTGAGCTGTGCGTAACGGGAGAGCCTCATCCTGCTCCCAGGACCCTGCCTCCAAGCTGCACAAACGACCACAAGGCGGTTCCAGCTGTTCCCACAGCCCCAGGGCAGTGGCCCAGACTTGCCTGCAGGTTTTTTCCTATGCAGGAACTTGCAGGATAAAAGTCCAAAGACTGCCTGACATTTTCAGTGAGCGGGACCCTGCACTTGTCCTGATCATGAGATTGTTACTCTGCTGTTTTCCATGCATGCGCTGCGTCAAAGCTTTACTTCTTTCAGTACAGCATAGGCATTGCATTGGCATCTTTATCCCTTTCTTAAGCTATATGACCTTTAAATTGTGCCCAATCTTGGGTCACTTGAATAACTTTTTATGACTATTATTTATTGATAGTACTGTTTTAAAGTGTGTATTTATAGACATGTACTGCTCAAAGCACGCACAAGTCTCTTGCTCTGAGGAGCTTGTAACTTAAATGATTTACATGTTGCAGCACTTAGCATGCCTTCCGCGTTTTCTATACACAAACCTGAGAGAGACAAATAGACCGTATAACAGAACCATGGAGCAAAAGACATGAATCACAGTTGTGGGAGCTCTAACCTGGCAGGGTTGCTAGTGGGGTCCAAGGCAGAAGGTTTACCAGGAGCCTGGGGGACTGCTGATGGTAGCAAAAGGACACTTTGCAGTCCACGTTGTTTCCTTTCTCCCCTTAAATGCAGCTTTGTGGCTGGTATCTTGGCATTTAAACTAGCAGTTTGTCCTAGATGGAGAATATTGGTGCAAAACGTGCCCTTTGAGTGATCCTCTTGGAAATTTCTTTTTTTTAAAAAAAAACAAGTTCTCTTTAAATGTAACTCTGTCCTCAAACAGGCCTCCCATACCAGCAAAGGAGTGCTGTAGGATAATAGTTCACGGAATGACGTAGATGGCTATCCCTCCGCATCAGGCTTGTGGAATTTATATTTTTCATAGAGGATCTTATGGAGAAAATAGTTTCTTTTAATGAGCTGTGGAAGAGAAAACCTGGAGCTTTCCCTGGTTCAAAGCTGGCCTTGGTGCTCTCTTAGCTGGCGAATCCTGCAGCTTCAACGGGAGCGCGGCGGGGCCTCCACCAGCACGAGCCACATGCTGGGAATCCAGTGGGAGACAGGAAGAGCATCTCTGTGGGGATGGCAAAGCATTTCACAAGCGCGGCCCTGCGGTGCAAGCTCTTCAGAAACCCTGCTGAGCTCCCAGCGCTTCCCTAGGCAGCCCAGGCTTGGGCTGCGGCCGCGCCAGGGACATCCACTCCGGAGCATCGGTGCTAGCAGCGGCATTGGGGACTGGTGCAGAGCTGCCGCGCGTTGCTGGTGCTAGGGCAGGGACAGGTGCCACGAGGGCACGTCCTAGTGAGACGACGGCCTTGTGTGGCTGTGCATTCACCCGCAGGCCATCCCAAGCCCAAACCTCGAGGACCTTGTTCTGCCCTTACTCATTGCTCGCTTCCTTTGCCCTGCTCCAAGCACTTGCCTGACTCAGAGCAGGGGATTGTTCCGGTGTTTTATGGCTGTTTGCGCGGAGCAAGGGAGAGCCTCAAGAACCAGCACTGGTGGGAGTCCCCATCCCGATTCTACCTCCGGGTCCCGGGAGTTCCGGCTGCATTCGCAGGGAGATTCTAGCAGCTGTATTATTTATTGTTTGTTTTTACAACTGGAACCACCTTCATAGCGTTACTGAAGTGAACAACGCACAACAGTCCATTTTTATTGCTAGATAATGTCATTATTATGTCACTATTAAATGTAAAGAGAGAAGTACTGTGACACCACGGGTTCTTATTTTGTTGAAGGCTTCTAATTTATTTCTACATTCTAATTTTGGATTACTGAATTACAAAGCATACAGTGTTGCATGGTTTGCAGGACATTTATAGTTGCTTTAAAAGTTACAATACCAGAAACAGATAGAAAAAGAGGGGGAAAACTTTTGTAAAAGGAAAATCTTGTGTGATATTTTGCTTATTAAAGAGACACAGACGATTCACTGAAACAGTGAGTGCCCGAGCACAACACAGAGATGCTGTAGGGAGGGGATGTGAATACACCAAATAAAGACCAAACTGAACACGTTTCCTGAGCTGCAATCTTGTTATTTATTGCATGTTTTTAAAGCCAAAACTAACTGCCCTGCTTCAGCAGAGGAGAATGTGAGGGGACTGCCAAGGAGGAGCTGGCATCGGAGGTAACAGGAGCTCAGGGGTCCTTAGATCCCGAGGCAGTGCTGCCATTTAAAAGTCCTTTACCAGCAACTGCTGCTGTAACATGGAGTTTCCAGAGCCTTTTGTCTCTCTCAATGCAGCCATACAGAGTCCAGGAACCATCATTCATTCTAAAAACACAGAAACTCTTTTTGTTTTCTCTTCTCTGCAGTTGCTATCCACCTAATTAAATCTCCTGTCTTCTCATTCACTGTTTCATTGTGTGGCCTTGCTTGATGGGTCGGTTGGTCTAGGATTACTGCAATTTGCATTGCATGTGAGAAAGAAACAGTGAAATGAACATTATCCAGATAATACTTAAATTATCCAGTAAGAAAGACTCAGTGAGATTAGCAAAACAGCACTGAAGAACACGAACACAAAACCATGTTTTTCTTGCTGTTGGAGTTTTTTTTTTTTTAATTGAAGCTTCTAACTGAAAAACAAAAACAATAGTTTCTTTTTCTGACAGAGCCTGAAGTTAATTTAAATCTGATTGTCCATAAAAGAAATGTAAGTGGAGCGAACAACCAAAAAAAAAAAAAGAAAAGAAAATGTAATTAGGAATAAAAATCTTTTTGAGAGATGGAGGACTTGAGCTGTCCTTAGAAGGAAGCATGGGCCTGCATTCATCCTTGAGGCCACACGCCTCGAAACGGACGCCCCGGACAGGTTTTAGTGCTCCGCTCATTACAGCTAATGCTGTAGCATCACGTTCTCAGGACAGCTCCCTCTCCCAAGCCTGACAAGCTTCCCCAGGGGAAACCTGGCCAAGGAAGCCCAGGAAAATCGCGCCGAGTGGGCAGGAGGGAGCACGGGGACGATGCATACTTGCTCCAGGGCCAGTGTTCCATGAGCTGGGTGGTGGCGGCAGCAGTTGTGTTGTTTTGGTGGAAACCCCCTTCCCGGTTCCCTGCATTCTGGGAGTTTCCCGGTGCTTTGGCACAGCCCCTCCTATGCCCAGTGGCGAGGGAGCAGCTGTATTTTTACTGTTTCCCACCCTGTGACTGTCCTGCTTGTTCCCAGCTCCCTTCAAGGCCTTGGTGGTAGCAGAGCATTGCAAGCCGTGCTTGATGCGCGATGGCTCGTGGTGACTCTTGCTGTACCCACAACCCAACGCCACGATCTCCCCCTCTGCCATAGCCTCTCGTGGTGACTCCAAACACCACCGTGTTTGCATAAAAAGATTGAGAGTCATGCATTTAAAAAAAATCACGCTTTTGGCCACTGCCAGGGCCTGGGTGCACCCACAGGCTCCCCGGTGGCCCTCATCTGATCTGGGTTTGGCTGCTGATGCCCAAGGCCAGCGTTAATGTGGTGCAGCTGTACCTGGGCACTAGCTGCTGTGAAAAGAGCGGGATGAGGAGCAGCTCAGGGAGACATCGTCTGGCACCACCTTCTTTGTTCCAGAGATGTATTTAAGCTCAGGACCGTGACTTTTTGCTTGTTTGCTCTATCTTGGTTAGATGTGGGTGCTTTCAAAGAGCTTGGGCTTGCTTTTGCAAAGCCAAAATATACAGACAAAAGTGTAAGCCGGCGGGTGGCTCCTGTATTTGCAACTGTACCTCTAAGTGCTTCATGTCTGTCCTTGTGTTGATCCTTTTCCAGGGGTTTGTTCCATCATTGCAAGCTGCATGAGTGTGACAGCATCTAAGCCTTGGGAGTTCCTGCTTGGTAATGTAATAAGGAGGACAGTGCTAGGAACATGAAGGAAAAATATGATCTTACTATTCAGGGGCTCTTTAAAATTGGATTTTGGCAGGCAGTTTTTATTGTTATATTTTTAGCTCAGAAGCCTCATGTATGTTTGTGGATGTTGGCCAGTACTTGGACATTAAGGCGATGGCATCCCAAGGGAAAGGGTGCAAAATGGGCGCAGCTCCATCAGTGAAGAGGAAAAGGGGGATTTGCAACACTGTGTACTTGGTTTACCCAATCATTACATCTCTACAACTCAGCTCTGAGCCTTTGGGTGCATGGAGGCAACTAAGGACTCCCTGCAGAAGTGCAAACATAGCAGGAACTGCAGCAACCCAGAGGCTGCAGTGATGGTTGTAGCGAGCACTAGCGAGGGCCACTGTGGCACTTATACTTTAGAAAACATTTTAAGCTTTTCTACCCTTCAAAAACTACCAAGCACACAGATCAAGAGTATGAGCTTAGACTCTTGTGTGCTTCTGGAAAACATTTTGGTCCTATGCTCAGACCAGGCAGGAAGAGTGTTACCAGGAGTCATCCTTTCCAGGTGTAAAGAGCAGCGTGTGTCTGTCACAGCTCTCTGGTTGCAAATGTGTGGTTTCTCATACCTGGGCTTGACATCGGCCTAGATTTAGCAAATGGTGGGGAAATCCTATCTGTTGTGGTGGATTGTGCTTCACCAGTGCAGCCAGCTCCTCTATATTTGGTAACCACCAGCACTTTTCCCATCTCTTGGCTAATCCCTTGTGAGGGACAAAACAGACTTCCTTGCCTTGGTTAACTTTTCCCTTTGTCCTATAACTGCTACAATTGCGTTCACTCTGTAAAGTGCACACTGCATTGCATTGCAGTCTGTTCATTTGAGCAGCTGAAATATAGCTCACACTTCATTTTTTTGCTCCTGCAGCAGTCTTATTTATGGACGTTTTATTTTGTGGGTAACAAATTCTCATGGTGCATCTCTGGCAGAAGCAGATTCCTTTCATCTTTTCAATATAGGGTAATTAATTGCCTTAATTAAACTGGCAAGTTAAAGAGGTCTTTTCTATTTAGCTGGCTCTGTATGGCAACTCCAACTTTCTTTACTGACAGGATGCAAGGATCTTTCTAAGGTGTTCAGATGAAGGGCTTCAACAGTGTCCTCTGAGCCAAATGTGACTCTTGTGATTTTTTCCAAAAAAGGTTTCAGAGGCTTTGTACTGCTACAATATGAAGGACATCCAAACAAATAACCTTCGGCAACAAAACCCATTGTCACATTTGGAACACAATCCCATCAAAGCCATCAGGCAAGAGGTGCTGCCCAGGTTTCTGCTCTGGCAAGAGAGGATGGCATCCTGGTTCTACAGATAGACTCAAACTCCATGGCAGCTTTTTCTTCCAAAAGAAAGGCTATATTGTACATTCTGCTGGCCAAGAGTCACCAGCACAGAAACGACGAGGGCTGTGATAGAGCCGGGTCTGTAGTCATCTAACAAACTCAGATGCTGTTGAGTTCAGAAAACTTTTGTGAATTAAAATGGGATTTTTTGACTCTGGCATAATATGCGATTGTCCCGAGTTTTCAAGATCTTTGTCTGTGGGGCTGTGTAAAGGTCTCCTTCTGTGCAGCTCCATGCAGAGATTGTGGGACTTGCCAACGCCTCATAGATGCTCTGTGTGCTGTGAAAGGATGCATAGCAAGGTGTGCTATAGAAGGTGTGACTCCTACAAAGGTGGAACTTTTCCAAGCGTTTGTGTGTGTTGGCACAGAGGATATGTGCAAGCAGTGCCAGGGTGCAGGAGAGTTTGGGTGTGCATGTAAAACTGGTGTGCAGAGCTGTGTCTAAACATCCATACCACCCTTGGCAGCGTGTTTTTCTGCATCCATGTCCACAGGTTTCTCTGTGCTTGTACCTGGCTGTGCCTTTGTGTACATAGTTGATGTGCAACTTGTGTGTTTGTGCATGCATCAGTGGTGCAAGGCCAGCTGTAGCTTCACTGATGTGGTTTCGCCTCATTTTAAGTGTGGTCTGTTTGCAGCATGTCCACGCAGTGGCGGAGCCCCTGCCTGCCAGTCGCATCAGCTCCACAGGCTGCTAGACTCATCCAGCCTTACTGGGTCGTGGAAGAAATGGGCTGGCAGCCTCCTTGTGCCTCAGTTGCTGAGTTTGTTGGTGCATCTCGATGCACATGGGGTTCCTGGATGGGTGGAAAGCGGCTTCCCTGCTTCCCCCGGGGTGGAGCCCCTGCAGTGGTAGGCGCCAGCCCGTGGGCTGGGTTCCGTGGGCTGGGTTCCGTGGGCTGGGTTCCGTGACTAAGCGTTTTGTCTAGGAGCCGGTGGCGGAAGTGCGAAACTGCTGCTGGATAAAAGCCAGCAGCAGAGGATTCAAAACACTTCCCAGGCCAGCGAACTCACAGCCTCCAGCCCCGCTGCCTGGAGGAGGAGGAGGAGGGAGTGGGGAGGAGAGACCCACGTCTCTGCTCACTCGGATGCGCCGGCCCCATGCTGGTGCTTGCAGGCCCGGAGCCGGTGGCACTCGCGTGGTGACGGGCGGAAGACCCTCCAACGCGGGCACGTTGGCTGGCTTCATGCCAGCATCGCGGTCGTGCTGCTGGCACAACCACCAGCTTCTGTGCAGGTGAGTGAGGATGTGAGCTCTGCTCTGTTCTTCCTTTGTACCCTGCTCTTGGCTTCAGCGGGGTGGAATCAATGCAATATGATATTTATCTCCCACTTTTAAGGGGCAGGGGTGCTAGGAACCTCCCAAAACCTAAAATGGGGCTCCTATGACTTTCCAAATTCAAGTGCATTTGACTTTCAAATTTAAGACCTCTCTATACATAATCTGATTTGTTTAGGTGAATTATTTCCTTGTCAAGCCTGTCACACTGTGACTCCAGGAAGTGCTGCTCACGGGCACTAAAGAACTTCAGTCACCCTTCACAGCCAGCAAAAGGGTTTCAGATCTCTGACTTTTCACGATGGTTGAGGTCCTACCTGATTTACTTCTTACTGTCAAAGGCATTCAGAAAGGTTTCTAGTCAGATCAGGTCTCCTAATTACATTTGGAGGTGGGGAAGGATTAAGGTGGGTTCAGTGGCTATTCCAGATATGGGACCAGGGCCTTTACAGGCCCCTTTTTGCACTTGCCATCCAAAGCTGAAGGAGAATGCCAACCTCTGAATATCTACTGGTATTTTTTTCACCAAGGAACTGAAAATGCTACTGGCCTGCTTAGGCGACTCATAGTAGACTTGGCATGATTTTTATAGCAAGAATTCCCTGGATTCTCTACTGTCCTTTTGTAAGTGCCCAGCACTGCTGGATATGCTTAAGGAATTGCCCAAGTGCCCAGGGCCACACAGTTCTCAGGGAAGATTTGTTTGTAGTGTTGTGAGTAAATCATAAGAGGTGATAAATGTCTATGTTTGGGTAAGTGACAAAGCTTTCCCAGGCTGAGGCACTCTTGACCGACACTAGCATTACTAGTTTTGGTTTCACTTCACACAGATCTTCCTAAGATCAGCTGAAACTGGAGAGATCTCATGGTTCAATAATTCTCTTTAATTAGGTGAAGACCAGGAAGCCTTCACCTAGTGCATTCCATCAGCCAACTACAGAGCAACCTCATCAAACGAAGGCGCTGAGCACTCTGCCTCTCTCATCCCTCAATGAGATCCTTAGCTCCATTAAGAAAATAAAAGGTACAAGGCCCTCCCTCTAAAAATCATGGAGCACACAAGTCGGAGTCAGTTGATGGCATTACCTACTTCAAGCAGCAAGACACTAGAAGACCTTGACGCCAAGCTACACACTGCTGTGAAAAACAACGAAATGGAAAATGTGAAGGAACTGTTGGAGAAAGGGGCAAACGTGAATTCCAGAGCCGAAGCAGGCTGGACACCACTGCAGAGCGCTGTGCATATGGACGAGGACATGGCCCTGTTTCTGCTGGAGAAGGGTGCTGATCTGCATGCCAGAAAGGACAACGGTGGCACTGCCTTTATTGAGGCAGGAGCGGCAGGAAGTGTGAGGCTGCTGGAGGTCTTTCTTGCTCATGGGTCAGACATTAATGAGTACGATAACAATGGATTCACAGCTTTCATGGAGGCTGCGTGGTATGGGAAGGAGGAGGCCTTGAGATTCCTGCATGGCAGAGGAGCAGATGTGAATATGGGGAGGATTGTGTGTGAGGAAAAAAGGAAACTCAATAAAGGAGGCGCAACAGCCTTGATGGATGCTTGTAAGGAGGGCCACATGTCAGTTGTAAAAGCTCTGGTCCAAGACATGAATGTTGATCTGAACATCTGTGACAACCAAGATAGAAATGCCTTGATCCATGCCCTCAAAGAGGGTAGTAGTCACAAGAAGCCAGAGATATCTGTCTCTATAGGGCTGTTCCTGCTTGACCGTGGCATTGATGTAAAGAGCAGAGATGAAAATGGGAAAACTGCCCTAATCCTGGCTGCTGAAGTGGACAGCTTGGATTTGGTGAAAGCTTTATTGGAGAAGGGTGAAGTAGATATTGATGATGCAGATAACAAAGGCAACACAGCACTGGTAGTAGCTGTAACGAACAATAATTACAGCATAGCAGAGCTGCTGTGTGAAAAAGGAGCAAGGACTGATATTGGGGACCTTATCGACATTGTAAATAGGAAACGTGCTTCTGACCTGAGGAAGCTGCTTCTGAAGCACAAGGCCAAGTTTGTTCCAAAACCACCTACAGACTGGGAGCCCACCAGCAAACGCTGGAGGGACCAACTGAAAAAGCTTTATGAAATATATCGCCCCATGATTGGCAAACTAAAGATATTTCAATACATTTACTATAAGATTCTGAAAACTTCCCTACGTAGCATTTACCTAGGGCTTTATGGTGACACAGAGGTGGCTGTAGGAATAGGCCACCACAGTGATACGGAGTTTGATGAACAGAAAAGATTCCTTGAACAGTGCGGTCACTGCAAGCACCTAGTGAAGCTCTTTCAGCACGAGAAGGCAAAAGGCTTGGTATATTTGTGCTTCCCTCTCTGGGAACGTAACCTTGAAGAGTACTTCCAAGCATCAAAAGATGGACTGGGTTGCAAAGACATTCTGCGGATGATCTTCCAGGCAGTGAGAGAACTGCACTCGCTAGGATTTGCTCACCAGGATCTGCATCCCAGCAAATTTTTGATAGGTTATCTTTTGATTCCTCAGTGTTCTCCTCTTATTTTCCTACAGCTTGTTTTCTGCAGCTCTTCTTTTTGCCTACACCTTAGAGAGGAGGACATTTCCTAGCTGTCTGTAAAATAGATATGAAAATATACGTGAAGACGTGCAGACATCTTTATGTGGAATAAAAGTGGCATTAGCTCTCTTGTTTGAGTAAGTGTAGATGTGTTCCCAGAGAGCCATGGAGCAGTGGATAGAACAGCTTTACCTGTCTCACTAGGTCTGCCTTCCTTTCCAGGGCTTTACAGATAGACCAACCTGCAGTAAATCCCTCCAGAGATTTGGTTCCTAAAGAAGGAGCCATCCAGAAATCAGTGTCAAGCTGTATCAGGGTTCTATATTATTTGTTAACAGTGTCTTATTTCCTCAGATTTAAATGGCAACATTTACTTGGAGGATTTTGCTAACCGAAGAAAGTTGATTGAAGGCAAAAAGGAACTTGTAAACACAGACCTGGAGGTAACTTCCCCCTGAATCAACGTATGTTTCAAGTTTCAGGCTATTTCTGAGCTTTTTCTTCCCTTACAAATGCCAAGGGAGTTTTTTTGCATCCTCATCTTAAAAAAATACCTTGTTTTTTGGGAAAACCCCTAACGCAATAGGCAGAAGAGTGACAGTGGTGAGGATATCCAGCAGCCAGCCCTGTGAGTACAGTTATGGGACCTGCTATGCCTGCCTTTGCGTATGCAGCTTTACAGATGTTCATGTATATTTTTGTGCTTGTGCATGCCTGTAGTTCTGTGTATATTTACATAGGCAGACTTTATTTTGGAATATAAATTTCCTCTATTTGTCAAGAAGCTTCATATATCACACCTAAGTAGCGATCTGTTTCTTTGCAGGCCCTTAGCAGGCTCGTGCTGTATGTTATAACAAAGGGTAAGAAACCATTTGAGCAAATCAGTCCTGAGGATGTAGATGCAGATTCCCCTGATTATGAGGAGGCCTTGGACCTTGTGGAAAGCTTGGCATTGCATGACGAACGAGGCTTGGAAAATCTTATTAAACATCCCTTTTTCTGGAGCAAACGGAGGTAAGTCCTGGGAGTGCAAAGTAAAAGTTTGGAAAGGAAAATTTGCCTGTAACTGTGGAAATGATGCTCTGTTGCAGCTAATGAAGCTTCTGATTCTACAGCAGGTTCGATTTCCTGAAGGCTATATGGAAAGAAGTCAAATTTGTCACTATTTTTAAAGATTTGAAAAGTCCTAAATGTCCTGATTACCAGCAGTGGACTAGGAAGGTAATCTTTTTGTGTTTGTATGAGAATTGAGTTAGGCCTATGGCTACAAAGTTTTACACACGCTCTTTCTAAAACCATATCTAGATAGAGGAACTCTATGTATATACAGATAATTGGGGAAAACAAGTCTAAGTAAGTCGTGTAATCGAAATAGCATCAATCTCTTCAGTGTGGTGTCAAGGGGACTTCCATCGACAGGGATGAAGCAATTTTCTAAAATGCCTGATAGACATAATCCTGAAGTGCAGCAGCCCTCCCGCGTGGCCAAGGCAGCAAGGGTGTCTGTTCATGTTGGGAAGAGGGCATGGAGTTCAGTGCCGCAGAGATGGTCTTGGCACCCTCACAAATGCCCCAAGAACAGCTCTGAGCAGCAGCACGGAGGGGGCTGCTCTCTATAGGAAATGTCCTGCAAAGCACTCTTCTGTCAGTAAAATGTTTGACAGTCACAAGGTCTATCTGTGAAACATGGTCTCTTTATAGAGAGCAGCTGTGGTGAGTGAAAGATGATGAGCTATTTTCATGATATTTGAAAGGTAGAGAATAATCTGCAAATTTTGTTCCAGATTAATCCAAAGGTTCTGAAAATCATGCAAAATCCTGAAGGTAGAACATACATATATCGTAACGGAGTCAAAAACCTGCTGAGGTTCATCAGAAACCTGGATGAGCACCTACATGAAAGGTAAACATTCACTTTCCTGTCCCTGCCATAGCTATGTTCTGGGGTCATCTGTATATATAAGTGTCACCAAGTTTGAGAGCAAAACTTTTTTCAGAAGTGGTCCTTCCTTTTCTAGAAGAATGGATAAAAAAGTTCTCAAACCCGACATGACTAAACTTCTTGAAGCAAAACCTGGTTCCCAGATTATCACTTATAGGTACACAGCCTTTAAGCAGAACATTCAGTTCCAGAGGGTTGATGATGGCTTCCTTTTTGTGCTCTTGCCTTTCCAGGGAAACCTCCCTGTCGTATGGAGAGCTGTCTGATAGCTAATGCCAGGTTTTGGCTCTACAGCAGGGCTATGAATGTGTCTGGGCTACTGTTCTTGCTGCAGGCTGGTGTTTCTGCCATAGCTCCAGGAAGCCTTCTAGATCACTTTTGAATATTTGTACTATTTCTTATCTTGAAGCCTCCTTGTATACCTTGCTGTTATTTTCAAAGTGCTTCTGTGTGCTGAGGTGATTTGAGATACAGATCAGGAAGCACCAGTCCTGTTAAGAGGTCAGAATTCTTACTCTCACCCTTTGGATAGGACTAGACTCCTAAATTGCTGCCAGACCCTCCTCTGCTCGTTGCCTTAAAGTCATGGGGACTTACATGTAAGGTTAGCTATCTCCAACCACACAGGAGTGGCAAAATTGGCACAGCATTGCCAATTTGAGGTGCCTGTTTCACCGAGGCTGGCAACCACCACCACTGTTCAGTGAAGATGCCAAGGGAGGTGTGGGAAGAGTGAAAAACAGAGTGCAGAGCTCAGGAAGGCATAGCAAAGTGGCAGCTCATGGATTTCCAAAAACCTCCCCATGTTTCAGAAAGCCCCTAGAGTGGCTTTCCTTTCCTGTAAGGAGCTAAGGCATTATTGAACTTTGACTTCTTGGACAAGATTTAAAATTCCATTTTGTTTCTGTTCCATTTCAGCATCAGCGAAATAATAGGGGATCATGTTGACTATTTCTCGAAGCTGTTTCCAGCGCTGACTATTGATGTCTACAACTACTTACGCAAGCATCCTGAATTCCATCACCTTGCAAATATTCAGGACCCTTTTCTACCATAATATGTGTTGTTGCCTCGTGTACCTTAGCTGATCCAATCATCTCTGCCTCCTTTTACTCCCTATTTCTTCAGCTGTGGAAGAGTTGAGGGAGATGGAAGGAGTGTATGGAGGGACAGAATATGGGGGCTTACACAGATGAAGCATCTCTTTATTTTTTTAAATATTCGGTGTAGGCTTTGGAGAGGAACTGAACTGAGGCCCAGCCCAGGTCCTCCTTGTCTCTATCACTTGAGATTTATCTGCCCCTGTGGTGGAGATAAAGGCCCTGGTTCTTATAGAGAGGAGGGAGCTGAGAGCCCTCAACCCTACCTACATTGGAGGGTTCATGATATTTGAAAGGTAGAGAATAATCTGCAAATTTTGTTACAGATTGGAGCTCAGAAAGGAATCCTTCCTCTTGTATAGGATAAACTCAGCACTGGGTCTTCGAGCGGTGCTATCTGCAAGGCAGGGCTATACACAAATATTACCTGTCCCCAAAACACGGGTTTTGGGGTATCACTGTCCCTCTCTCAGGGATGGCTCCCTCTGGCAGAGCTGGTGCCTGTGCAGCATTGGTAGGAATCCAGCTTAGTGCTTTGATATTGGAGACTGGATGATATAGATCTATTTTTGATATGTAGCTAGGATCTAGGGACATTCAATGTGCGAACCCATTTATCCTGGGGTTTCTTTGTTTCTCTATTCACAGCTGCCTTTTTTCACTTTGAGTTGCACAGTGATTGCGTGTCATTTATGGAAATATTTTTCAAGTGTTGACTAGATTTTTTTTTAATTGGAATTGTAAACTTATTCCATATAGAACTAAACTTGAATAAACTTTTCTGGAAAACTGACTCTTATTACACTTATGAGGTTTCCCATTCCTTCTGCATAGAAGAAATTAGTGTCTTGCAGCACAGTGAAATGCCCAAGAGCCTGGGATTTCTGGCCTTGCTGTGGAGGTGCCTTTTGGCTGTTTAGGTAAGGTAGTGGATAGTCTTGTTACTGCTGAGTTGAGTTACTTCTGGCTGATAGGAGGTCTGAAGGAGGAGAAGAGTGTTGCAAAGGATTTGGGGAAGAGAAATCCAGTTTGGAGCTCTGGTATTTATTTAAAACTCCAACAATTCATCAATTCAAATAAAGCAAATTCTGCAAGGTATTTCCGTACTTCAAGATTATATGCATCAGCAAGTACTGGAGGCTTCCTGTCAGCGGAGGCGTGCTGTCTCCTGTAAAGTAAATGGCTAAATGGTGATTTATTCTGTTTTATTTTTCCTTTGCAGGGTGGGGGATCCTTGTGGATGAGTTAATGTGTGTCCGTGAACTACAGGTGGTTGGAGACTGGGAAAACGTATCCCATCCAACTATGGGCTTCCCTTGCTCTGCTCTGCCATGTGTGCTTGTTGCGGGTCAGTGTTGGAGACAAGACTTAGTGATACCGAGATACTGAGACTGGATCAGTGATGCTGGTGCAGAGCAAAGGTTCTTCTGATGGTCTTAAGAACATCTCAAAATACATGTGTATTTCATATGTGTATCAAAATGCAACAAAAACTCATTTAGACTGTTGGTGAGATGTCATCAGAGAAAAATGCATCCAGGAGAATGATGACACTGCAGGAGAAAACAGGCTGTAAAATTTCCCACTTTCACCATCTGGCTCTTTCCTCCTCTTGCTTAATGCTATTTTTTTTTTCCTTTCCTTGCTGCCCTCTTTCTTTCAGGACGAGTGCTCTGTGCTGTGCAGTAGCAGGCGTGAGCGGTGCTGCTTCTGCTCTCCCTTGAGGAGAGGTGAGGCTTTGGGCTGGGCTCGTTCAGCCTTTGGTCAGATATTATGTTCCTGTTTGCTTTGACCTTTGCACCGTCTTGTCTCTCTGCTGTCTTACTAAAGATCTATGCTGTGGCAGTCTGAAAAAGTTGCAGAAAGCCCTTCCTGAAGGCAGAGAATCCCCATGGATGCCCAAACTGAGGAGTGATTAAATCCATGGAGGCTATTTGTCTTTCTGGGACAACCAGAAAGAATTTCTGGGAAGGTTTCTGTGGTGCAATGTCCTGCTTCCTGTGAAACCAGAGGTGCTGCTGAGAGCAAGCGGTGGGGATTAGGTGCTCCCTAGTGTCACCTGTGCGCTAAGGACATGCTCATATGCGCAGGGGTGGCCCCTGGTCAGTGTGGTGTAGCTTGCACTGGAGAAAACCTTGCAGAAGCTGCAGCTGGGTACGGGGAGGAGTGGGTGCTTCCACCTGCAGAGATCAGCTTCAGACACGTCTGTGGATGCTGTCCTGCTGGCGGGGATGGGTTTGGCTGGGCCCCGACCTGCGTCCTGGCAGCTCTGAAGCTTTATTGCAAAGCATGCAAAAATGCAGCTAGCCTGGGGGGCTGCAAGCTCCCGGTGTTGCTCCTGATGGGACAACATCAGTAGGTGAGCAGTTTTGTGAGCAGCTGCTCAGTCCTGCAGCTGTTTGTGAGAAGCTGATCCAGCTCCTAGGGCAGTCTCTTATTCACGGTGGAAAAACAACAACAATAAAGAAAAGGACTTCGGGGTTTCTCATGCTCCAGAAGCAAAATACTGTTAGTAGACAAGTACGGAACCTTAAATCATTTTTCTGAATCAAAGGCACCTGATGTCTTTGCAGGATATCTTCTAGGGTTTGGAAGCGGATAAACAGCTTAAGTAACAGACCTGAGAGTTTCCAAGTGAAGGAGCAGTTTAAGGCCGTTCCAAGGGAGGGTACAGCCCTTTCTTTCAGATGAGCTCCCAAGGGCACTTCGGATTTCTGCAGCTTCCAGTGGCTTGGCAAAGCTGCTCTGCCTCCATTTCACACAGGAAAATGCTGGTATTTGGTATGATGTGGTTAGTGAATATAGATTTAAAAACATGCCAGGGCCCTCAGATCAGGCATTTTGACTGGTCACTTGGCGGCTGTGGCAAGGCTGCTGTGGTTTGTCTTCCCTCAGGACAACTCCACAGTAAATAAGTGCAAGGGGACCCTCCTGGCCTTCCCATCTGCAGCAGATACTTTGCTTCTGTAGCAAGTCTGGAGGGATGATGAGCTGAGACGTGGTGTGAGCTCCCTTGGCCTCATCTGCACTGGGAGCTCTGGCAGCACCGGCGCTGCTCTAGCACGCTTAACCCTCGCCTTTGCCAAGCTGTGCCCTGCACAGACTTTATCTATGGGAGCAGCGAGGGTACAAAGGTCTGGCACAGGGACAAACAGCACAGAAACATGCTCCTGGTGCGTGGCTTTGGGGCATGGTGGGATGTGGCAGCAGGGGATTTCTCAGCTATGTTACTGAGAAAATACTCATCCAATGACAGTGTTGCTGTGGACACCATCATTCCTCAGGGGCAGGATGAGCTTCAGTGCATCCTCACTGCCTTCAGACCATGCCCTGTTTCTCTAGACCCTTTAAACTTTCCCATGCCTGAGAGACATTCTCTTTAGCAATCACCTTCTTCTTGGCTGGCTCTGAGCAAACAGATGTGATGTGAACTACTAAAGTTTCCATAGATGTGCATTGATCCTGAGGCCCCTAGTCCTTTGACTATTCATGTATATCACCGCCCACCACCATTCACCCATCTCATGTGAACAGAAGTGGTGGGTCATTGGCACCTCTGAATGTCAAGTCCAGTTTTTAGAAGTCAGAATGTGATGTCGGATTTTTTTTTCTCCCCTCATTCCCTCCTACCAGCCACTGCACTGGCTGGTTCTGGTGGTACCCATGGTACGGGTTGAGGAGGGCAGCAGAGCCCTCTTTACTCTGTCTCTTTACTCTGGTTATGTCCTTGGTTGTACCTGGGCATTGCGGGGCCTGGCCGGCATCCCGCACAGACCCATCCAATTGCCTGATATTTTTAGCGGAGAATCGTTGTCCCTCTGCCTCCCAGTGCTTGTGGCCATGTGAGCTGCCCTTGCGGTTATCTGCCTGTGTTGCAGGACAGGAGATGCAGACAAGCTAGACATTTCTTTAAGACTTTAATTTGAAGCTGAGAAGAACAAGAGGTGCAAACTTCTCAACACAGACTAAAGGAAGGGAACTGTGAAAACCCACCTCCCTTCCCTAGAGCTGGACTAGAGAAGGAGATTCTGGTTTCTGCAGCTACCCACCCTTCTGCTTCTTGGGCAGCTTCTTTTTCTTCTGAGCCTTTGGCAGAAAGACCTGGATCCCTTTCCGCAGCGTGAACTGGATGATGGGGCAGTTGCCTGGTGAGGAGAAGCATTGGTATGACAAGGTCAGTAAGCAGATGATCCCAGAGAACCCGCTCCCTTGCTCCGCTGTCTGAAATAAGAGCCCCTTCAGCTCCCTCGGATGAGGCAGAGAGCATGGGCAGCCTTCTCCCCTTGGAATTAAATGGCGTTTGGAGAGATGAGGACACACATGTACCCAGCTGCCCCACAAGCATGGATATGCTCCCAGCCCTGCTCAGTTTTGTGCCCATGGGGGTGGCTTCTCCCCTGAGCATCACTCTGCTCCTACATGCTAAATGTGGGATTCGCGGGATGCATCCAGTCTCAGCAGGCAATAGTCACTGTGCCCAGCAACATAAGGCCACAAACGGTGCCACAGTGACACCTGGCGACCAGCTGGAAGCTGAATCCAAGTGCGGCATCCCGCTAACTGTGCGTGCCGCTCTCCCAGGCAAGAAGAGCAGTACCCTGACCAGCTTCTGTACAAAGAACCAGCCCTCTGCATAAGATAAAAGCAAGACATGGGCAGGAAGAGGACTTTTCTGGAGTTGGTAGATATTTTCCCCAGGATTTTTAGTGCCTTATAAAGACAACATAATAACACAACCAATTTTACCTAACTGAAAAGCAAGGTAAAGGTTATCTGTGATAAGCTGTGATAAGTCCAGGGAAGTTTTCCAAGCAAAGAGTTGCACATGCATCAGTGCAGTCAGAAGCAGCAGTTATTTTTTGGATTGCATGTCCATTGGGTTTGCTTCTGGCGGAATTGGAGATGCTGAATTGGAGTAGGCCTGCAACTCCTGAGTTGGCAGGTGACACAAAGCTGATGCTGGTCTATGCTGTATCCTGCAGTTACCTTGGCCTTCCCATGCCAGGGATGACAGCATCTCTTCTTGTCACTTAGCTAGGCTGAATATGAGAGAGTCACAGGACAGGGCAGCAGAAATAGTAGGTCTGAGAGATTATATGTGCCTTTCTGTGATATGCCAGTAGAGGCTGCTGGACTCTGATCCAACTCAGGTTTTGGCTGTTTATCCGTACCATGGAGCAGGTGCCATGGAGTTGTGGCTAGGGGACAAGAGGTTGTTGCAGGGACATTCACTTCATGATTAAATTTACTGACAGAAAGATCACCATCAATTTAGATAGCCCTGGAAGTGCAATGAGGAAGGCAGGGGTAATTATTTGTTAGTGTAGATGGGAAGTAAGGGAATGTAGATGGGAAGTAATATAGATGGAAAGTCTGAGGAATAATATGGGTTTGTGGTTTCTCTCAGCTGACACTTATCATTCGGGTCAATAGGCCTTACTGTGTATCTCAGCACAGAGACTACATCAAACTGCTGTGCAAAGTGGAGACTCAGGCTGAACATCTTTATTGAGGTGAAAACTCTGGGTGTGAGAGTAGTTTAAGCTAATGCACTTGTCTTTGCAATTACAAGGAGGGAGGGAAACAATCACTGGGGTCCATTGCCCTAGCTCAGCTGATGAACTCAAGCATGTGACTGAGCCTATCTAAGACTTGCAAGTGTTTTGGCCAAAACTTTATGGTGCTAAATTGCAGAGAGCAGAACACAAGATATTTGACTTTTCTACCACTGAAGCAAGAGTAGTGCATGCCTATTTTGATTAAAGGGAAAATGAAAAATAGATTACTTTCCAGAAGAAACTAATTAAGAATCTAAGCTATTAGGTAGAACGACAGCACTTAATATCTTTTCTTTGTGTGTCCCCCCCTCCTCCACTTAGCATTCTTTAGTATGTTGAAAGTAACTGGATGAGGAGGGGAAAATTCTCTTTTTCTTCAGATATTAGTCTCTCTTCTAACCACTCCTTGTAGGATCTGCCAATCTACTCTCCAGTGAGCATCCCCTCAAATCTAAAGAAACCTCTTCTCCATTCTAGCTGTTCAAAGTATCCCTGAAGTAATGCTGCTAAGTCTGACATTCTCAGTTCTCAGTAGCCTCTTCTTTTTCTGCTTCATCTGATTTGCAGTCCAAAATACTGGTTGGTTAAATTTCTGTTTTAGAACTATGAGTATTTTTAACTTGTTTTTTTGAAGTAAACAAGAGTTATGCAATTGTTCTTTGCTCATGAATTCTCTGCACTCACTTCCCTATTCTCCAAAGAAATATCTAAACTCATTGGGCAATTTTGCCTGCCTTTGACAGGATGGAATGTTTCCAAGGATGCTCCACTCCCTGCCAGACCCACACCACGTACAACCTCAAAGCTGTGTGAGGTTGCAGAGCATATGTAATGTTGTTGCTTGGTCAGCTGGTTGGCCAAAGTCATGTTAGGGGTTGTGAGTGTTGAGAATATATCAGTGAAAATTCATGAGAGACCAAACTAGGGAAGGGAAGCTCAGGTATATTCCAACTCAATGGCTTATTTGGCTCTTCTCTGAGAACTACTTCCCCCTTTTCCCTTCTGTTTGGAAACAGTCCCTATATAGAGCACAAGAGAAACAATTGGCTCATCAGGACTATGTCCTACAAGTGGCTGGTGCAGCATGAAAGAAGCACCAAGCACAAACGAAAAGCAGCAGTAAAGCTGCTTTCAGCACTGGAGGGAGTGTAGCTCTTATAAGGGGACCCACAGCTGGAGATTTTTGGGGAGTTTGGATTCCATGAACCTTTGTGGGACTCCAGAAACTTAGGTCTGGAAAGCTCTGCTTTGGAAGGCCAAGATTGAGAGGACAAATGTGGTGCAGGGGGAACAGGCACTCAGCTTACCTGTACTGTGGATGACAGATGATTTGGGGAAGGTTTTTTTAACAGGCAAAGAGCTTGGCATTCTTTTTTTCTGGGAGACCTGGAAGCCCTTCATTGCCTTCCTGATGCAGAACCTGCATAATAAATAATAAATAATAAAGTGAAAGCCAGCAAAACTTTGAGCAGACATCTACAGCCGAGCTCCTCATGAGCATCTCATCTGCATCTACATTGTGCCCGAATATGCTGCCAGATAGAGAAGCTGGCATCCCCACAACCTCTGCCGGTCTACCAAGTGAGATAGGTACCTTTTCCAGAAGTGCATCAGGATGGGGAAGATGACAACTGTAGCCCCGTAGTACAGGTTGCGGTCCAGTATCTCCTTGGAAGATAAACTCCAGATTAATTCTTTCTGTGCTTCAGAAATGTTCACCTGGGCGTAGAACAGACCTCACTTAACCAAAGCAGTTTGTGGCACCCCTGGAACACCAGGGTATGTTGTTGTTCCTGACTGCATTGCATTTCATGAGTGTCTAGGGGGAGACCTGGTATACCCTGGCTGATTTTCCTGAATACAAGGGCTCATCTTGTGCTGCCCTTTCCAAAGGAAAATTGGCAGAGCCGTGGCTGTACCATGGGGTATACCATGGGGGTAAGAGGTGGCTGCAGTGGGGAAGGGGAAGAGGATCATGCTGACATCTGTGGACCGAAAGGAATGAAATGTAGGGCAATGCTTGTCCTGCTCTGGCAAGAGGTGAACTCACTCTTTCTGTGCCCACACATTTGCGTTGACTGCGTTAAGTGTCAGAGTGGGTCTTGAGGTGGATGAGTTCCCTTCCCATAGAGCCCAAGCAGAAATCTCTAGTCCTTAGAGCATGTCCTGAATCTTCAGAGCATGAGTGGCTGGGGCAGATTCAAAGCTCTGCCCAGTTCCTCTTTTCCCCACATCTGCTGGCAGCTGCTCTGCAGTGTTTTTGAGCAATGAAGAGAGAGCAGCCTCCAGACTTCCTGGGTGGGTCCCAGCTTCTTACCCGCAGTTTAGGCGGAATATCAGAGTCCAGGAAAACATTGCTGATGATGGTGACTTTGTTTTTGAGAAAGGCAACTGCCTGGTTTTGCTGCTTGCTGCAGTCTGCGATAGCTTTAGCTGCATCAGCCAGCTTGAAAAACCTGTGAAGACATGTGCTTGTGTCCTCCTCTGAGAAATGTGCTCTTACTGTTAGGTTAGAGTTATGATCTTTAGTTCACTGTTTACTGGTCCAGAAAAAGCAATTCATGAAATGTGGAACAGTTCAACAGCGGGGATGAAAAGCCACTTCCCTCTTCTATCACCCTCCTACTCATGGCATTCAGCTATGGGATGTAATGTTTGCTCATCTTCAGGATACGAAGGGAATTGAAACCTGGTCTCATGCACATCGTTGAGCGTAAAAACTGCTAAACTATTGTGCATTGGCCATAGCTTGCTTATATAGGCTTGCCACAGGACCAGAAGTGGTCAAAGGAGAATTACCAAAATCCGCATGTCAAGAAAGGCCTAATTAAATTGCTTGGGACTGTTAAATCAGAGATGCTTTTAAGATACACAGACAGAAACTCTTCCTGGTTGAATTGGAGGCCTCTTCAGGGCTATAGGGCAAGTGAACTCAAGCAAGTCAGATATAGACATCTAGGGGGGTGAGACATTGGTTGTTTCTTATGCTGCAGGGTGATACTCAGATACAAGCCTTGCATAGAGGTGCTGATAGGTGTTTAGCTGTGGCAGTGCAGACCTTAGTGTGTGCTAATGAATCACTGATCTGGCCTTTATCTCCTGCCATGGGACAGGCACTACCTGAAGGACACGTTTGGGCTCCTGAGCCAAGGGAGACTTGGTGGCACCTGAGAAACCAGTAGAAAGAAGGACTTACTTGTCAATCTCCAGATAAAAGTGGAGATCATTGACGAGAAAGTTGACAGTAATGAGACGGTTCTTAAAGAGGCGACGTTTCACCAGTATCATCTCCTTGTCCTCTGGGATGGTGGAAGAGGTCGTGTGTGAGCAGCAAGTGCCCACGGTGCTGCCGTTCTGTGTCCCGTTGATGAGCAAGTCTGAGAGGGGAGAAGAGCTGCTGTCCTACTTCTTCCAGCACTGAGTTTGAGGCCATTTGGGCATTTGATCCTGAGGAATACTGATTTTTTTTCTCACCCCATTTGTGCTTGCTTTTTCTACATGCAAATAATTTCTTGAGGCTGTTTCTACCTAGGAGGACTTCACATCCTCTGAGCTGCTTTATGTTCATTGTTTTCATGGAGGATGACCACAAGAGATACATAAAGTCCATTGGTCTGCCTAGGGTATTGGATATACTATATCCTGCCTCCAACAGAGGCCACAAGCAGATAACTTGGGAAATGGAAACGGAAAATATCTGTTACTTCCTCCATATACAATACCCTCTGGCTTCCAAATGTTTTATACCCATAACCTTGAGATAGCTGGGGTTTCTGTTTATCTAGCAGTTTTAATAGATTTCTTTTGCAGTCCGGGTTAATAGATTGCTTTTCCAGTCTTCTCTTAAACCTGCATAAAATTTTAGGATCTATATCCTTTTGCAAATTGTTCATAGGCCAGCTATCTGTTGCATCAAAAAGCATCTCCTTTTCTTTATTTGAAGGCTGTCTCACTGTAGCTTCACTTAGTGAGTCCTAGTTCTTGGGGGAGGGATGCCAACTGCTGCATTTGTATTAGTGTGATGTGCGAGGGCATCATTGCATGGACTTAGAGAAATGAGGGGCAGGAGGACTGGCGCTAGCATCAGAAAGCAGCTGCAGTGCATGAATACGTATGCGTGTGGTGTGAGAAATTCTGGGCCACATCTCCCAACTCCTGTGCCAAAGCACTGGTGTCCCTGGAGCGCCTGGAAGAGGGTGGCCACTTCTTTTCTAAGCTAACATTGGATACTAGCAAAGGGTCAGTCTAAACGCCCACCTGCAGAACTACTCACCTAAGAGAGACAACCCCATTTTGAACCTCTTCTCCACCCTCTTTTCCATTCTCTGCTCGCTTGGAGCAGATTCTTGCACAGCAATATCAGCCTCCCTGAGACACCTGCTTTTCTGTCTCTCTCTATATGCCACGAGCAGAGGACATGGGGAGAGGAGTTGATATGGGCTAGGAGGGCTTCCTCTGTTTACCTTTCCTAAGCCCAGGGCTGCCTTGGGGAGGGAGCAGAGGCGGGTGGCAGGAGTCTAGACATACTTTCCTTTCGATTTCGTACTTCCTTCCGGAGAAAGTCCTCAAACTCGGCACGGATTCTTTCGTTGTTTATATCCCTCCGGAACTTGCAGATGCTCTTGACGCAGCTGCGAATGGCTTCCCAGGCCTTCCTCTGTAGAGATGCAGCACAGCCTGCGTGAGCCCGTGCCACAGCCCAGGCCCTGCAGAACTGGGGCATGATCGGTGGCAATGCAGCTTGCTCTCAGGGAGAGCGGGGCTATGGTAAAGCCCTTCCTGCTCAGGCTTGTCCCCATGAACTCGAACACCAGAGCTCAGTGCTGTGAGTGGGATTTGTGACCCAGCCAACAGCTTTGTGTTTTGGTATTTCTGTGGTTCTCTCGGGGCTTCGGGATTCTCGAGTTTCACAGCAGATACTGTGAATCAATTAGCAAGTCTTGACTGAATCTAGTCACTTCTGTGCGGAGCAGCACTCCAGTCCTACACCAAAGCTCACAGGACTAAATATTGTCTGGCTTTTTGCAACTCTCCAGGTGCCTAGGACATCCCCCATCATCTAAGTGACTACCACTTGATCAACATTATCTTTCCTGCCTTGAAAACAGCCCCAGCCTTCTGGGAGGGAGTCTTTCCTTACCAGTTCGTGTCTCTTGAAGTTCCTCATCCCACGCTGCAAACAAGCAGGAGACTCGTGGCTACCATCTGGGGGGAACAGGTCCTGGTAGTCCATAAACCTGCCAGATGGGGAGTCAGAGAAAGCATGAACAGCAGGCAGAAGCACCAGCAGGACAGCGACTTGGGAGGCTGGTGGAAGGGCAGCTATGGTGGGGAGCAGCTGACAGGGATCTCCAGGCTTAGTAGTTTGAGGTGCCCCAGGACTTTTATTCATGGAGGATGCTGGAAGAAGCAGCTTGGGATTGGATTCCTTCCTTTGGTCTCTGCTGTTGCTGGCAGCGTGTTTGGGAATGTCCACCCTGCTCATCTGTAGCATGTCCCCTCCTCCAGCCCAGGATCCTGGCACATAGCGGCCAGTTGGTCCTTATGAGACAAACCTGCTGGCCTTGAACAGGTAAATCCATCATCAGCTTCAATGGCAGCTACATTAGTGTGAGGGCTTGGCTCAGATCTGGACATACTGGCTGACACTTAATATGGTACTAGGTAACAGTCGCTGCCTGTCACTTAGGGGGTCCTACAGGAAGAATGTGTTTGTTGACCCTTGGGAAATCTGGGAACCAGCCTTGGGCCGCCCGAGCCGAGTGCTCACCATCGTTCTTCCATTGCTTTCTGGACAAAGGTCTGTGCTGTTATCAGCATGGCCGAGCTGACTACTTTGGCCTCCCTTACTTCTCCAATGATAGAAGCACAGCAGTCCAGCAGCTCCTCTGAAACAGATGGGCAGTCACAGCCTCCCTCATGCTGCCAGGAGAAAAAACTCTTCCTATCTTTACATCTGCAAGTAGCACCCTGCCCTGTCTCTGCCTGTTCTATCTACTGTTTGCTGAACTTGACTGTCTCATCCTTTTCCTTTCTACACCACGCTAATTGCACACTTCAGGAGTGAAACATCTAAAAGAGCATCTACAGGAGACAAGGCAGCTATTTCTGCCACTGCAGGAATTTCAGCTTGCAGTGCTTGGAAGATGCTGTTGAAGATTTAGACAGCCTTCCTAGAAATGTAAGTGCAGTGGGAGGTCTCAGCACACATGTACTCCATGAGACAGGGAAGGGAGAATTGGCAGGTGCCTGCATCCCGTTGAGGGAAAAAGGGCCCCCAGCATGAGCTGAGTAAAGCACAGGGAGGGAGGGTGCATACCCGCTGGGGTTTTGGCATGGAAGTAGAGTTTGACAGTGTTGTTAATGAGGATGCGTTGCTTCCGGGGGTTGGTCTCTGCGACCAGCTTTTCCACAGCCAGCCAAAAGCGCAGCGGTCCATCTGTGTTGTTCTCCTTGAGGAAACTCCTGAAGAACTCCAAATGGGCAGGGTTGCGCAGTACCTCCATGAAGTGCCTGCAGAGGAGAACACACCGGGAGAAAATGCTCCCTGTGCTGCCAGTGCCCTGGGAAATAGCCAGGACCAACCTGCAGGCCTATTTTTCCAATGAAACACTCCTGAATATGACAGAGATGTGTGTTCTTGTCTGGTACCAGTGAGGTACATCATCTGCAAAGCAGATGGACCAGCAAAGGCACTGACAGAGCACAGCCTCTCTTGTATGCCTTGCCCATCCATTGAGCCATTGGGAATCCTACGTGGGATTCTCCTGGCAAGTTGCTGTGTTTTTTTGCTGTAGTTGCACCCAACGAAAAGCTTTGCTGCTGTGCATGAGGAGGACATGGTCTCAGTCAGAAGAGAGGACTTTAACCAGAGAACTGAGGAGGAGACAGGACTTTAGCTCTGAGCTGGAGCCCTCCGAACCTGCAAATGGACTAGGGCAGCTAAACAGAGCCCGTGGGGAGGAGGAAGGTAAGGATGGGTTACCATGAGAAAAGACTGGTGGGAAAAGGAGGCCATATACCTGCTGAGAATGAGCATGAATTTGCTAGTGGATGGTAGTGGACTTTAAAGGATATTTTCACAATTAGCAAGGATGGGATTTAAGTGCAGTCAAGGGTGATCTTTAAGTACTTCTTTGGAGTTTGACTTGCTATAGTAAAAGTGGTATGTCAGTGTGATCTAGGATCGAGTTCATAAGACAGGAACAAGCTGCAAGGAGTAAAGCTGGCTGGCGAGATGAGTGCTAAAGCATTTTCTCTTTTCCCTTTTTCCCTTCTTCTGCAGTAACCCTGCAGTCCAGACCCACATGTCACCCACATCTATATCTGAGAGAGTCCAACTCTGAAGCAGAGAGCAGTGGCACTAGTGACACAGGAAGTGTCACTGTCACCAGCAGTGACACAGGAAAGTACTGGGAAAATCTGCTTCTTGAGAAAGTGGAAATGTCAGAAAATAGTAAAGCTCTGTATTGCAAAATGCCATACCTGGGTCTTACAGTTGGCCTCTCTATTACGACAACAGAGGGCTTTGGTGCATTTACTTTGGTTCTGCTCACAGGAAGGGTCCTCTTCTTTCCATGCTTGAGGTCAAAAGCTGCTGGCACAGAACAGATTTGGCCACTTACTCAGATCACTGCCAGAGCCTGCACACAACTGTCCTCAGGGAACAGGCCTCAAAAAAGCCCAGGCTTCTTGGTTGCTGTGGGAATTCTCTGCCTCTCGTTTGATTTCCTCAGTGTCTGCTGAAAAGTTCTACTATTCCCACCCTTTCTGACTGGTTTTACATCTTGAAGGACATGCTTTTCAAGAGTGACTAGACCTCTCTCCCTCTGGAGATGTTCTCCCAAATGATGGGATGGAAGTGGGGAAGTTCCCTGCTTGTCCCTGTCTCCCTAGGGTGTGCTGGGACGCCTTCAAGTGTGTGCCAGTTATGAGTCCACCTTGGTTGTAGGTTGCCCAGACTCAACTCACCGCGTGATGGAAATTTTAGACAGAAAAGCTTGTAATTCTCGCTTAGCAGATCCATAGCCAGCAAGGGATTCTTAACAGCCAGCTCATCAAGTGTCATGTTCTGGAAGTCTGTATAAGATAGAGTAGAAGGGATGGAACCAATGTTTATTCCTCCTGTCTAAGCCCATCAGCACTTACTCAGAGTGCTATATCGTAATCACAACTCATCCTTTTTTCCCTTCTCTTTCCTATTCCCATCATTTACTAATGACACTGCATTTCTCAGATATGACCAAGACTCTACAAATTACCCAAAAGTTGTTAAAGGTGGCAGCAGTCACTCTCTCTGCACTGGCAAACACCCAGAAATTTGATGTCAGGAAGGTGATGGGGGAAGACAAAACTGAGGTTTTACAGCAGCGTGGTCAGCCCTAGGAATTCTTGGAGCAGGTCGAGGTGTGGAAGAACGGTGACGAGGGATGTTTCTGGCTTTGAGGTTCATTTACTTTGCTGTAGTTTATTTGACCTAGTGACCAAGGCTGGTGCAGAGATAGATGCACCATGTGCTGCTTCTGATGCTGGGGAACTTGGTCCCTAGGTCATTGCCAAAGCTTGGATTACAGCTCATGGCTGCCAGATACCCTGTTCCAGACTGCCCCATGTTTTCCATTTACCGTCAATAAAACAGCATGTACCAAAAACTTCTCTGTTAGTGGCACTGGTCAGTATTGTTGCATGTACTTATGCTTTGTCTGCCTGAGTCAGTCTCAGCCCCAGCAGACATTCAGATGCTCTTCTTACCAATCCTGCACACTGGAGGTTCCAACTCCACCTGAATCGAGCCTCCTTTCCGGAGGTCCTGAGTGGCAACTAAGTGCCAGTGCTCAGAGGAGAGATTTTCCAAGTCCCTCATGCCATACAGGGCTTGGCTCAGCTTCAAGGATTCATTTATCCGCTTGACTAGGAGGATACGTTCTTCTTTCCCAGCAGCGTGTTCTTGCATCTTGCGCATCAGGAAACTGCTCTGTGGAGACTATGGCAAGAAGAGCAGACGCTGATTACAGGAAAAGAGCCAAGCCTGAGCATTTTCAAGGATCTACAGTGCTAAGAGAGGTAGGCAGGGTTGAGGTGGTAGCCTCTCATGTCCTTTTGAGTTGGCCGCTTTCCATACGATGGGCTCTGGCCCTGGGGGGATCCCTCTTCTTCCTCGCTCCAGCCAGACTCTGCTGCTGAGACCCTCCTGCGGGTTTTGGCCCTTCACCAGTGGTGAGCACTTGGCACGACTCACCAAGCAGCGAGGTTGCCGTTTTCTGACTGAGTTACATGCTGCTGACAGCAAGCACCAAAATAGTCCTGCTAAGTCCCTGAGCACTTCCACTGCCATCAGAGCAGTGAAAGCCATGAGCTTGGCCTAGGGCACGGTGCCCTGCAGGCAGCAAGGCCTCAGCACCTGCTGAAGTGCTAATTGCACTCCCAGACCCGGTCTGTGCTCTGAGCAGTAATTTCCTTGCTAAGGGATGCTTAAAATCCTGGGCAGCTAATTAACTTACAGCCGGGGGAATTTAACCAAGCAGGGTCAGGAGCTGATAGATGCTAAGCAGCATTTCTGAAAGCACTTATTTCTCACTGACTGAGATGCCTAAATCTCTTCCCAAGCCAGGTCTTTGGGCACTAACCCTGGCTAACGCTGCTGGTTGATGTGCAGATAGTGGCCGCAGTGAGCAGAGCTGCCCAAGGAGGCTCTTCAGGAGCCCTGGGTGGGTGGGCTGCCCTGGGGTTCCTGTGTGTGAGGAGCTTTCATGGTGCAAGGCCAGCATTTGCAGTGCTGAGAAGCATGAAACTGGATTTCTATTGCTGGGAACGGAGGTAGTTTGTAAGATGAGTGTTTATGTGACTGTTTCCTTAAACCTCTCCTTCACACAGTGGAAAAAGTATGTGGAAAACTTGAGCGAGATGGAATCACAGGCCAAAACGCAGTGTGCCCTCTTTCCCCCAGCACTGCTTCTCGGACGGGGCAGCGCGCATGTGCGTCTGCCCATGAGTCAGACTTACAGAAGTATTTACTGTAGTCAAGGAAAAAAGGGGCAGAGTTTCTTCCCAGAAGTGTTTTGCTTGTGAGACTATTGTGGTTCTATGACACGGGACTGCGGCTGCTGAGTTATGGGAAGTTGTGGTGGAGGAACTTTGCTCCAGGGAGCTGGAAAAGGTTTACCCTTGCATCCCTCTCGTCTGCTTTTGAGACCCAGTGGTTCCTGCGTGCCTCGCTGGGGATCTCTCTGCCCCCCACCATGTCCCCTTTACCATAAACTGAAGGAATGTCGCATCATCTTCAGCCAGAAATTCGTCATAGAAGAACTCGAGCACCTGAGGAGGAGAAGGCAAGGTGGGCGATCAGGAGCACGCAGATCTGATCCAGCCGGTGAGGCAGCATGAGGCTGAGATGAGGCTCCCGCAGCCCCATTCCCCTTCTGCAGAACCGGGCTCTCCAGGGCTGCCCACCAGCCCAGGGAGGTGAAGACCAGGGGCACATCTCAGCCTGAGCACGGCCACTCTGTACCTTGCAAATCTCTTCCTGGGCTTTGAATATCCAGGGAGTGACTTCTCCAGAGGGCAGGCGGTCCTGCAAGTTCCTGAGGGTCCTCATCTCCAGGGGAAGAGGCTGAATGGAGCCTTTTTCCAGGTAAGTCTTGCGTATCCTCACCCCTATCAAATGGCGCAGCAAGAAACTGCCTTCATTACTACAACCCAGCACCACGCACAGAAAGTCCTCGAGATCATGCCACAGGTCCAGGAGACAAACCTCCACAGGCCGTTCCCTGCGCTTCAGGAACTCCCTGAAGGGCTGTCCTGCACAAGCCTCAGCACTCAGCGTCCATGCAAGGAAGCTTAAGGAGGAAGAGGCCTTGCCTGACCTTTTCAGGGCTAGTAGGGACGGCCGCCGGACAACCGGGGTAGAGAAACACATGTTGGAGAGCAATTGCTCCTCACCGAGCTCTTCTAGTTGAAGAAAGTGCTCTATGGTGGGGCAAAAGCTTTTGGGAGAGGTGTCTCCTCCGTTGTCTCCAATGGCAGTGTATGAAGGACGATCTGACTGCTGAGAAATCAGTCCCGGAGTACCTTCCTCCACGTATGATTTCTCCATGTCTGATCTACACGTGCTCCTGCCTGGCCCTGGCTTTCTTTGTGATTGCTCCTTAAAACTAATTTCTCGACTCAGAAACATTTCCTGGGTGCCTCTTTCTTCTTTGATGAGAGTCCAGATCTCCTCTTTGGCCTTCTTGCTGCAATAGGGCCCCGATGAAGCCTGGCTTTTTTTAATATGCATTATAAAGAGTTCATTAAAAGAGCCGGGGGGCTGCTGTGAGTCGGCCTGCAATCGCTCCCGATACTCCTGCAGAAGAGGCCAGCAGGATTCCTCCTTCTCCATGCTCAGCTTGCAGTGAATGAAGAAGTTAGGGAGCCAGTAATTCTGAATCTTAAGCAGGGCCAGCGCCTGCATCTTGCTCAGGGTCTCCCTCCCGGTGCTCGTGGGCTGCATGCGCCAGTCCGTGCTTTCCTGCACTGAAATAGACACAGAGAATTATGCATGGCCCCATCCAGACCTGTTTGTGCCAGTGGAGCTCCCCAACCAAGCTGTATGGGTGAGGCTATCCCATTTCTGCAAGGGTAGGAAACCTAGGAGCAGACAGAATAAGGTCAGAGTCCCTGGAAGGGCGCAGCTTGTCACTGGCTCTGATGCTTCTTACCGATGGGTGTCCTGCAGAGAGCGAGAACTCTGGAGCCTTCCCGCAGGTGCGTGGCCTTCAGCACGTGCAGCAAGGACAGGTAGAGCTTCCTCTGTGTCGCGTCTGACTTATCGAGGCCCAGGATCCTTTCAGTCGTGAGCCAGAACTTGGTTAGCTCTTCCCCTGTGGATCAGACAGACAGAGTGAGGCGGTGGGAGGGAGTACCTGAAAGCCTTGCCGATTAGCAAAGTATCCTTCATTTTAAAGCACAAGGAAAGAAGTTGAGGGAGCAATGCAGAGAAGAGCCAAGGCAGTCTTGCTGTACGTGAGCTGCAGCTCTGCTGTTGGTTTGTCTTCCAGAGAGGTGTCCAAGACAGCATTTTCTCACGTCGCACCAGTGCTTATCCAGCCCACCAGCTCTGTGCTAGTCCCTTGCTGGGGAGGACACCAGCAGCTGCCTTGTGCCCACCTGCCAGTCCAGGGACAAAGGCTCGGAAGCGCCACATGCCCCGGCTCCCGCTGATGCACTTCTCGAGCAGCCACTGGTCAGCCCTCTGCCAGTTCAGCAGTTTTGCTGTGAGGGAGAGAGTGCAAAGTACAGTATCACACGGGTGCACACAGGGACAGCCCCAGGGCAAGGCCTCCAGCCTCACCAACATCCTCCGGTGTCCCCCCGCACAGCCTTTGCTGCTGGAGGGAGCAGTGCTACAAGCCAGAAGCCCAGGGAGCCACATGGAAATGGGAGTTTTGGACAGGGTTGTGGTTATAAGATGTAGTGGACCTGCTCATGCCCATGATAACTTGCCCAGCTTCTCCATCCTGCCTCTTGCCCTTGCAAATTTCCATCTGTTTTGTCTGCACTTGGGATTCCCTTTCAGATGCCTTCATCCTGATGGTAAAATCAGCTGAAGAAGCAGCAGCAATGTATCCAAAAAAAGCACTGGAGCAAGCCCTTGGGCCTCGATAAATTGCTCCTTTCCCTGAAATGACTTGCTGAGTCATTGAGCCTTTGCATAACAACGTAGCTCGATGGGTAACTGTGACCATGCTTGAGTTGCAGCAAAGACTTCTGGGACTAAGTCTCTGAGCATGATTGAGGTTTTCTGTTTGTGGGACAGCCCGTGGGGTAGGTCAGCAGGGTGTTTTACCAGCATAGGGCACACCTTCACAAGAGGAACGCAATGCAGTGAAGTGCTGGAGCTGTGGGTACCTTGCCTGCCAGCAAACTGAAAATGCCATAATCCCAGCTTCCCACCTGTAGATACCCTCTGCTAATAGCATACACAGACTTTTCGTTACACTGAAAAGATGAGCTGAATTTGGGCTGAAATCCTTCTCTATTTGTGAAGAGATTGGAGGGGGCTGATGAGAATGTGCAGGGCCAGAGTCTTCCAGCTGCTGGTCCCTTGGGCATAAAGACCACGCTGCCTTTCCACCCCTGAGCTTCAGAGGTCGGCCCCTTCTCTGCAGTGTGTCTTGGGAGCAGCGGGTGCTTCTGCCGTGTCCCACTGCGCTCAGCGGGCAGCAGACGGCGACAGGCGCAGCTGGAGGAAGCCCTGCTGAGCAGCAGAGCCGCCCCGCGCGCGTGGCGGCTGCGATTGCCTCAGTGCCGCAATGACTCACCTGCTTCCTCCGACCGAACGAAACTGAGGAGCTTCTGGCAGAGGACGAAGTGGAGGCACAAGCTGGATCTGCAGAAGTGAGGCAGCCGGTGCTTCTCCAACCAAGCCAGTAAGCCTGGGAGGCTGGGATCCTGCGTGGCACCCCGAAGGGAGGAAGAGGAGGCTGTGAGAAAGGAGCCGGCTCTTGCCCAAGGATTAGGGGGTGAGTAACGGGCTCATGCCATGGGGGGAAGCAGGCAGGCAAGGTGCCCCGTTGCTAAACAGTACTGCAAGACATCCCCTGCACTGGAGAGAGATGGGGACATTCGAGCTGTTGCTTCTGCCACATGCCCATGAGGCTGGATTGCTGCCTCTCCCCTCTCCTGCCTCCTTCCTCATCCCTCCCCTGTCCCCCCAGGATCGCTGCCCCGTGAGTATCTTCTCACCAGGTGGCTCGGTAGCTCTGGCCAGAGGTCCCACTGACCAGTGCTGCTGATGTAAATGGGTGTCTGGCCAAAAATCTGTATCAAATGAGAAGAGGAGAGCTGAAAGAGATGAAGGTTGGCAGGAGAGCATAGATTCCAGCTGCTCTGGCTAGTCCCTTGTGAGCAAAAGGGCATAGTCTTCCCTTCTTGACCTTTTAGGCTCCCACTACCTCTTCCAAGCTGAGTGCCTCTGATTTTTCTGGTTTGCCAGCCTGAAAGTGGTGTATCCCCAAATTTTCTGGGACCCCTAACACTATGGAAGCGTGAAAATCCACCTGAGGAAGATTCAGAAAGGTCCTGGGCTTTATAGTGAGGAGTCAACTTACGGGAAGGTTCAGAAATGTGTTGAAAAAGTCGACAAACACGTCATCTTGCAGCAGAACCCCCATGTTCGTAGAGGCTATGGTTGCTAGGGGAAGAAGAGAAAATTACCTGGGGTTTGCTGCCAGGCATGACAAAACACGGGAACCAAAAGAACAGTTCTGAGAAGCTGGAACAGCTGTAGAGGATACGTGGTGTGGGCTTGCCCTCTGCACGCAGGGGAGGATTTGGATCTGAGGCAGCCTCTGAAATGCTTTAGCTCAGACTGCATCAGCTCCAGGCTTTGCTCCACTGTAAGTCAGAGGGTGCCCAATAGGATTATTTAGAAAATGTAAAGCTGTTCTCTCAGAGAAACGTCAGTGGGACAAAGTAAAGGAGGCAGTGTGGCTGGGAGGAGATGGAGCTATGCTCCAGACCCCAGGAGCAAGCCGGAGGAGGAGATGGCTGTTGTGCTTTGGTGCAGCTGCTCCAGCCTCTCTGCCTTGGTATGTTGATGTCCTGAAAGCTCCTCTTCAAGTGGCACTAGGCTCCTAGAAATCACCAAGCATCGCTAGGCTGGAGGCAGACTGTTGTTCTGGTTAGCGTTGACAGTGACTCGCTGCAGACACCCTGTCTACCCGGGATCCCAAAGTCAGGATTAGTAATACCCAAGACTTTCTGGATTTGTAGTACCCAAGACTTCCTGTTATCCTGTGAAGTTTAATTCATTTCTGAGTGACGGGATGTAAGGGGGCAGATGGGCATGCGAAGGCTGCAGCCTGCTAGTGGAAGGACGCCCTTGAATCTTGAAAATATCCATTTTGGTGAAGGCACAGAGCACAGTTGTGTCACAGACAGGACCTAGGTTTCTGAAGCCTAAGACTTGGCTTTTCCCTGCTGAGATGGGCTTGGAGAAGCCAAAACCTCCAGAAAAGGTAACTCACCAGTGGCCGTCATGTTGCTGTGCCCAAGGGACTGGTCTTTACAGAGCATGTTCTAGAGCGCGGCTCTGCTTTGTGACGTGCTTGTCCCGCTGCTGCCGTGCTCTGTGGAGGCACAGCAGCCCACAGCACGGGCTTGGCCGTCCTTCTGGTGGGTTCCCAATGAAATGTCTCACCTTTTTAATTAGTAGCCCTGCAAGCACACTTGGACAGTCCCAAATGAAAGCTCTTCTTCAACATGTAATGTTTTGGGCAACTTCTGGGTCTTCAAATCAGGTTCTTGGTGACACCTTGTGACGGTGTGTGGTTGGTAGCAGTGTGTTTGCTCACGTGGTGTCCAAAGTTTCCCAGGAGACACTCCTAAGTGTGCCCTGGACAACGGAAACCCCTCTTCTGTTGCCCTGGTTCGGCTTGCCTGGGCAAGAGGGACTCCAGCAGGAAGAGGGGAAAGGAAAAACTGCATCTTTCTCTTTTGGCAACGATGACCTCTTTCCTCGCTTGGGTAAAGAATTTGCTCCCCATGGGGAATATTTGATCCTCCTGGTTTGTAATGCTGTGGTATCAGATCGGGCAGTGATACTGCAGCAAGCTGGAGAGGCATAGGGTATGTGAGCAAGGAGTTGTGCCCAGAGCTGTGGTGCAGGATAACGTGTGACTTCTGGATGCAGTAGCTGGACTCAAGTCTATCTGGAGAAGAAGTGGCAGTTGGCAGGGGCTGAGGGGAGACAGGGAGCCAAATCAGGAGGAGCCTGGTGAAACTACGCTTGGAGGTTACACTCCAAACTGTAACCAGAGCACTGGAAAAATCAGGCCAGGGATTAGCCCTCACCCCAACAGCCCTTGCCTTACCTTGGTTATGCATAAAACCAGAGCGGGTTTTGGGACGTGTTTGGGACGTTGGTGCCCAAACTCAAGCTGTCTGCAGCAAGGCTGGTGCCCCTGGGACTTGCCTTGGAGTTGGCACCTGCCTGCAGGGCTACTGGTACCCTCAGGGCTTCGGGCGCCTTGAGGGGAGGTGGTCTGGCCGTGGTGTGGCCATTAACAGAATGCACTCTCATTTTGTGACTGTCACGAACTATTTGTGTCACTGTGGTTGCTATCCCTGGAGTGAGCTTGCCCCTGTTATTTCAGCCGATATGAGCAATGGTTCCTTCGTGAGCCACCGCTTTTAAGATATAGAGGTATCTCCTGCACAGCCTCATGCTGACTCTCATGCTGAAAATGCTCTCTGCACCTTTGTCATGGTGCAGAGGAGCTGGGGACACCTCACGAGGTGGCGCTGTCAAATCAGGAATGCAAAGCTGTCCCCAGGAACGGGTCTGCACAGCAGCCTGGCTCTTGGCCTTGCATTGGGTGTTGCAGCAGATGGGTTAGTGACTCGACAGGCGTGATTAATACCGGGACAACTTTCCAGGGTGGGTAATACTGCCTCATCCTCCTGAGTGAGAAATGAGGAGCAGCCTCTGGTTTTACAGTTGTCCCCAGGTGGAGAGTGCTGCAGACAACGTCTCACGGATGAATCACAAGCGTGATGTCAGGAGCCCTTATATGCCTGCATATGTCCACCCTGCACCCATGAGGACAGCCAACCTTTCTAGATTCTCCTCAGGGATGTGCTCCTCTGTGGGAGCATGGAATATGGGGACACCTGCTAAAGAGTTATTCAGAAGAAATCTAATGAGATCCTCAGAGACCCGTACAGCTCCCGTCTGGCTCCGGAGCCGTGCTGGGTTCCGCCGGGAGTGGATGCAGGTTGTGCTCCAGGAAAGGTGCACATGGTTGCCATGGAAATGTGCAGGGCCATTTCCATACGGCCTCTCCTGGAGCGGAGGCCGACTGGCAGCACGTGGACCCTGCTGCCCTCGCAGCCATCCCAGCCCGCACTGTCTTCTCGCGGGGCTGTAGTCCAGCCCTTGGCCGGCTCTGGCCCAAGCACAGGTCCGCTTGGGAAAGGCCACCCAGGTCTTTTCTCTCCCCTCCTTCCCCAGCTCCCCATTTCTGTTCTTTCTGCATTTTTAGTTTTTTCTGTTTGCTGTGGCTTATCTCCGGGACAGCTTTCAGCAGAGGCCCTGGAGATGGTCAGAGCGTCTGCGAGGGAGACGAATATTTTTTAAAAAAGGAGGCAGGCATGTGAGCAAAGATCAGATTTGGCAGGTGGCTCAGAGAGGAGCTCGGAGCAGACAGACTCTTTGTACACACAGATAAGGACACCTTTGCAACACCACGCACGTCACACAGGCTTCATTCCCCTTCGGATCCAGCCCAAGCCATTGGCCCTGCCGCATGGGGACCTGCCCACCCACATTGGCTATGGGGACATGGGCCACCAGGTACTTCCTGGCTGCTGACGCTCCTCACACTGGTGGGGTTGCGGAGGGGACACGGTTGGTCTTAGCCTTGCCCAGCGCAACCTGGCGCTGCTGCCAGGGCTGGCGAAGTCCAAGGTTGCCCAGATGTGGGGTCAGAGAGGCCTGGCTGCGGCGCCCGATGATGGAGCCGCACGTCCTCCGCACTCGTGGCTGCCGTCACGTCCCGCCGGCTGTCCCTCCGTACCTCCTGTGCCAGGACCAGCCCGTTCCCTCCTCTGCAATGGCCAGGCTGTAAAACCTGGTGTTGGTTTGGCACAAGGATCACGTACAGCACGAGCTCTGGGGGAGCCTGCTTTTATCCCCATGCACTCCAGGGTGTTCTTGTACAAGATACCTCGAAGACTGCAATGAGTAATGTGATGACACGGGTGGTGTTAGAAGGGGGCAAGATCCTTTCGGGGCCTATAACACCTTAAACTATGGTTGTGCAAGGTCCTAGGTTTGTACTCCAGCTTTTACTATCAATTTCTTTCTTGAATATGGTAGATTTTTTTTTAAGTCATTTTAATGCTTGGTTTACCGGGCATGTAAGACCTACTTGACTCAGCAGGGACACTTCTAGAACTTCCCATGTTCCTGCAGCTTCGTTGCCTGGTATTTACCATGAGGACCTGACCTTTTGCATTATGTAGCAATTACCTGTATTAATTGCCAGACCCTGATCCTACCACTGAGCCCCCTTGTCAGAGCGCTGAGCATTTCTGCGCCCTTATGTACTAAGCTGAGAAGAGTATTTGGGCTGAAGTTAATCTGCCAGCCGCGGCTAATGAGGCCCTGACCTAGCTGGGATCATATTTAGCAGCATGAATAATACTAATAAGAAAGGAAAAAAAAAATTGCCAATGCAGAGTGTGACCAATTGCCAACTGCGAGGGAAAGGCATGTGCTTAGCAGTCCCTGGGATATTCTCCACCCTTGTACAGAGCAAACAGGGCCAAGCAATTTCTAGGTCTCAAATCCCCGCTCTTGCCTGCTGTTCTCATCTTCCAGCTTCCCCAGATGCTTCTGAGGGAGAGCATGTGCTCTCCTCGCTGAGGACGCTCTGCTTCTGCAAAAGCTGCATGCCTGCATGCCTGCTCCTGCATGCCTGGCAGAACCTGCAAGAGGTAGGTTGGGGCTGCAGGGCTGCTTGGGGACGGGCTCTGAGCTGGTTATTGCAACGTCCTCTCTGCAAAGGGGACATCCTGTGCACGGGAAGGCCATGGGATGCCACGTCTGGCACGAGGGTGGAGAGCAAGGTGTGCAGGGCTCTCCCTCTCCGTTACAGGCACCGGTGGGCGGCTGGGCACAGTGACTGCCACCTACTTGCCATCAAGCGCATGATGGGTATGGGGCCACTGATGGGAAGAGAAAGGGCTGGAAAGAGAGGGTTTCTGGTCTCTCAGGCCTTCCTGGATGCTGGGGTTTGGCAGCAGCATGGGGAGGACCTTTCCTTTAGCATGCGCATCTGAGCATTTTTATTTAAGCAGCGTTCCCAAATTGTCCCTCTCCGCAGCACAGGTAACCGCCAGCCCGCTCTGCCTTTGGAAGCCCTCTGGTGACCAGCGCTCGGCTACCCTTGACCCTGGCAGCACCTTCAAAGGGAGGCCGTGATGGGCCCGCTGCGGAGCCTGCAATGTTTGCTCGCTTATCGGGCGGGCTGGCATCGCCCCTCTGCCGTGGGGGGTTTCGTCAGCCTCCTGCAGCGCTCGTGGGGAGACCGGGCGGCCACCGCCGCTTGTGCAAGGTCAGTCAACGCTGCACGGACATTTCCTCTGCCGTGCGGCGAGCGCCTCGGCCCCGTTCGGTGGCTCTTGTGTTTGGCTGTTGATGGGGCAACTTATTAATTGAGAGCTTTGCTTTTCTTGCTGGGGCATTAGGCTGATTTCCTAAATCTTGCTGGCCAGGGCTGTAGGGAGCTGCATCTCCAGGTCGTCCGCCTAGCTCGCCAGATGCTTTTCAGCCCTGGCAATTCCCGCAGGATATAAGCGGAGCCGGAGGGAAGTGTCGGGGTGGGCAACAGAGGTGTTCTCACAAATGAATAGTAGGAGGAAAGAAAAACATGTGCCGGTTGGGACTCGCCCCTGGAGCGCCGCTGCATTGTCTTCTGCTGGCTGGATGTGCCCTTGGAGCGGGGGCTTTGAAGGCCGCTTTAAATGCGCTCCTGGGAGGTGTCACCTGTTGGCATCGCGCCTTCTCCAGCTCCCCGACGAGGTTTTTGTCTCGCCGCACGCTGACGACAATACGGGTCACGGGAGCACGCAGCTGGGAGAAGGGACAGGCTGATCCCTGTTTCCCAAAAAAAAAAAAAAAAACCCGCTGCCTGCAAGAGGAGGAGGGGAAGGCAGGCCAGTAAACAAGCTGGAAAGAGCCCTGCAAGCAGGGAAGGAGTCTCCTTCCCGATAGCTTCCCGGGAGAGGGCGCTGGCCTCGGAGCAGCAGGGCCAGGCTGTTCTCTGCTGTCTCGTAAACATGTTGTGCCGGAGAAGCAGGGCTGGGAGCTCCGGCTCCGAAATCTTTCCCAGCGGCTAGGGCTCTCCTAGGGTCTTTTGTTTTTTTTTTTTTTTTTCCAGCCAGCGTGCGCTTAGCAGGCGGAGCAGGGACATGGCCAGAGGGTTGCAAGCTGCCTTTGCCCTCAGGGCCCTTTGGAGCTCAGTGGGCAAAAAGAAAATGTCCCTGACCCCACGACGAGAATAGCGTGAGGGACACCCTGTGCCAAAGCGACTTCCCTCTGTAAACGCCCTGGGCTTGTTTGCAGCCAGTTCTGGTGGCCACAGTTTCTTGGAAATTTGCAGGTAGCACACTTCCAAGAAACCAGAGATATCAGAGCTGTCAGTGTCCCGATTAAACCCTCTCAGCAAAACTGGATAGAGGTTTACACTGCTCAAGACTTGACAGTCCCCCTTTACAGGAGTTATTTTGCTGCTGGGTCTCCCTGGACGGCTCATAACTGGCCTAATGGGGTCTCAAGAGCAAATCCTTCCTATTTTCTTCTGCTAAACAGCTAGATTCAGGTGACCAGAGCTGAACTTGCTCTGTATCTGGGGTTAAATTCTGCTCAGCGCCCTGGGCCAGTTTCTCTGGGTAAAACATAGGAGGTGTTAGTTCAGGAGGTGACATGAGGAACCAAGTGGTGGGCGGGAATGGAGGGACAAAACAGTGTCCCTCCAGGAAGGAGAGATCCCATACAAGACAGATGCAGTCACCTCACCCTTGCCACCTCAGGTGCCCATGGTGGGGGCACTTTCGTCCCCTCCTAGAGCAGTTCTTGGGGTGCTGGCTGTTTCTTGGCAGCCTCAAAGTCTGTGAGATCCTTTGTGCTCTTTCAGGGTGTTTCTGTAAGTGAAAACTTGGCTTTATGATAGGATGCAGGAACTGGGATATCGCTTCGGGCTCTGCCTTGCCTAAGTAATTGTAGAGGTGAAGAGCAACCGGATTTCACTTCCATCCTGGGCTGCTGCAAAGTGGTGGTGAAGAATGCGCCTGGTTCTGCCCACAGAGAGGGATGGACAGTACATCATGACAAGTCCTTAGTCAGCAGTTACATCACCTCACCCTGCCTGTATGTCCAGCTCTCCGTGGATGCTTCCTCCCCGGCTTCATGCAGCAAGGAGGATTGGGTGCCCAAGCCCTGGTTTTGGGGAGGGCCAGAAATTTTGGTGTCACCCCCCCAAGACTGACGTGGGGATGGGATCTGTTGCAGGGCACTCATGCTGGGTGACGTGCTTGTGGGGGGCCTATAGGTGCGTGTAGGCACATGCACACGTGTGGCAGCTCCTTCTGTCACCGCTGGCATCTGTATCTTGCCCATTAGGTGCAGGCTGGGAAGTGAGGCAGGCTGAGCAGGAGTGGGGATGGCAGAGAGAGCTCCCAGGGTGGAAAAGTACTGGGCAGTCCTTGTATTTTCCCGGGTGCCCCTTGTTATCCGTATGGATGTTTTGAGACCTGCTGCAGAGCTGGGGAATTTCCCCCCCCTCCACTGTCCCTCAGAGTGAGAGGCTCAGCTGCATGTCCAGCTGCTGGAGCCTGTTTCCTGCTCCAAGGGAAAAAACGGGCTCCTTGCAGGCTCTGCCTGTTCCCCCTCCCCAAAACCCAGGCGTAAACACCAAGGGGGGCTCCGCTTTCTCTCTCTATTCCGCTGCCCTGTTTATCCAGGGCAACTTATTTTCATGCCTGGGAGTTATGCAAAGGCAGCTGCTAATGTAAACGCGGCGGAAAGCCCTGGATTGGATCCCATCTCGGAACAGTTCCGAGAACTAATGAGGAGAGGGATTTTGGGGGGTGTGTAAGGGTGAAAATGGGGGGGAAAATCCCCCCTTTTCCCCCTGCCTGCCGCTGGTGTGTGTTCACCTCACCGCAGGCTGTCCCGGGGAGGGATGCGAGACCCTCTTCCCTCCCGAGCCCTTTGCAAGCTCTGTTGCCCAATTCGCAACCCGGAAAACGCTGCTTCCCAGCTGGTGGGGCAAAGTGGGAGGCAAAGCAGAACCCCCGTGCCCGGCCAGCCCCGGGAAGAGCCCCTGGCTGGAGGGCACTTGGGGAATGCTAGGTGGGCACCCAGGCTCGCGGATGCTGAGGCAAGCGGGTCCCTAGTGCAGTGGGCCCCCAAGCTGGGTGGGTGGGTGGCCCCCGGGGCCAGTGGGCACCCAGCCTGCCAGGGCTGGGGGCTGGCCCCCCAGAGGGGTGGTCGGCAGGGCCGGCGCCGCGGGCAGCGCGGCGCGAGGAGTTAATCCCCGCTCGCTGCTTGTTTTCTTGCCCGGGCGGCCGGGGCGGAGGCGGCGCCGCTTGTTTTTCCGCGCTGCAGCCCTGCGCCGAGCGGAGTGCCCCGCAGAGCAGGTAACGGGGCGGCCCCGGGGGGTCTGTGCGAGTGCGGGGGGGCCGGGGGCTCTGCGGCCCCCCCGCCGCGCCGCTGTTTTGCAGCCGCTGCCGGGTTCGTTTCGGGTGTTTCCCCGCTCGCGGAGGGACCTTCTACTGGGAAGCTCCGGCCTCGCTGCTCTGGGGAGGGCGGGAGGCTGCTCTGTTTTGCTCTTCTGCTGTGGGGGCAACATTTGTTTTTCCTCCCCCCCGCCCCCTTATTTATGTTTTAAATATAAGGCTCGCTGAATCTGCAGCTGTCCAGAGGGCAGTGCTGGGGTGGGGAGCACCCCCCTGCCAGGGGGGCACACAGGGCAGCGTGACCAGTCCGCCCAAGGGGACAGCGAGAGGATGTCGCGGCATCAATTTCCACATCACTCTTAAATTCCCTGGTGCACACAGATGTGAGCTCCCTGCAAATGCCAGTGACCCACAGCTGGCACAGTCCAGCCCCACTTGGAAAGGCTGGGCTGTTGTGGGTCTCCCCACCTGGGATGGGGAGACCTTCACCCTCCCCACGCCAGGGCAGTTCCCATTGGGATCATTTGCGCTGCCCCTCCCCACTGCTTGCACCCCCCTCTGCTCCGCGACCACCTTTCTGTCTTGCATAACCTCCCACCACCTGATCAGCGAAGGCAGCTTGGGCTGGTGAGCCCCCCTGCTGAAGCCAGACTATTCCAAAAAAGCCCTAGCTAATCTTTCCTGGATGCTCGCCCTGCTCTGGAGGGAGGGCGAGCACAGGGGTGTGCAGGAGGTGAAAAGTTCAGCAGAGGCTGAGAAGCTGTTTTGAAGTCTGCTGCTCGGTGGAAAAGACCAAATTTGTTCCCTTGCCAAAGCAGTTCGTGGGTAGGAGGCTGGCTGTTAACGGGAGGCTCTAACGATTGCCATTGGAGCAGGGTTTTCCTAGCTTTCCCTGTGGTACAATCGGTGTCTTAGGGTGACCTGTTGTTTTTGTGTGTGTGGATGGAATCTCTGCAGGATGGGATCGATGGAGGATGCATCCAGCTCTGTGGCGGAGCAACCTCATTCTCCTGAGTGAAGGGGGGTAAAATCTTGGAGCTCACGGCTGGGGTGTTGTGTCCTCTCTGCAGGCATCCTTTTGTCCACTCTGCAACCATGGCCACCTCAGCAAGCTCCCACTTGAGCAAAGCCATCAAGCACATGTACATGAAGCTGCCGCAAGGCGAGAAGGTACAGGCCATGTACATCTGGATCGACGGCACTGGGGAGCACCTTCGCTGCAAAACCCGCACACTGGACCACGAGCCCAAGAGCCTTGAAGGTGAGGGGACAGGTTCAGGATTCATAGCTCATTGCCCAAGAGCTGCAGGCATGCAGCAACAGGGGATACCACCTTCTTTAGGGGCATCAGGGGACAGTTTCTGGGGAGAAAGAGGGTAGTGTGGGTAGATGTGGGTTTGAGAAGAGGTGAAGACACCACTTCTCAGCCCCTTCCAGTTATCTCATGTCTTGGCTCCTTGGGGCAGGGAGCAAGGGGGTCATTCCCAAGTTTCCAGATGCAGTGGTTAAATGAGCTGCTGGGTGTTGGGAGCGCAGCCCGGGTGTTGCACTGGCCGTGCCCGCGCTGGAGGGGGCTGCTGGCAGGAAATCCACAGCCCATTGACTCTCAAGTGCTCATTTTGGCCGGAAGTAGTTTGGCAGAAGAAAGTGCAAGGGAAAGAATGGAGCTATCCGGTGTAATTAAGAGCTTGTGTCCCTTAGAACAAACAGTCCCAGCTTACACAATAATAGCATTAGGATTTTCCCCAGGTTGCCATGGTGCTGGCTGGAGACAGTTATGAAATGAAAATACTGTGCGCGACTGAGCAGAATTATCTCTCTTTTTTTTCTTTCTTTCTTTTTTTTTTTTTCCTTCCCCTTTTCCCTCTAAGGGAGTGGTTGGCACAGCTCCTTTGCAATCTTTGGTTCCCTTCCTCCTCCTGCCCTCCCCCGAGGGGATGGAGGAGATAAGGTTGCTTGGGTAGAGTTCACTGCCACTCTGGCTGCGCTTCGACTTGGCGGCCAGTGAGGAGGAGTGGACAAGGGGATGGTGAATCTGGTGCCTCCTCCTTGCAGGCTCTACCGGGCTGCATGGCTGATGTTCCCCCTCTACATGAGACATGGCCACACGTGCAGTTTTTGTTGAGAGTAAACCTACTGTGGCCTGTTCTTGAGGAGCACTTGCGCCTCTATAGTGCTGAGCGGTGGTGGGGAGTCTGTCACCCTCACGGTCAGGACCTCGGTTTACAGCACCTCATTCTCCTCTCCAGACCTCCCCGAGTGGAATTTCGATGGCTCCAGCACTTTCCAGGCCGAAGGCTCCAACAGCGACATGTACCTGCGGCCTGCTGCCATGTTCCGGGACCCTTTCCGCAAGGACCCAAACAAGCTAGTTCTCTGTGAGGTCTTCAAATACAACCGCCAGTCTGCAGGTGAGCGGACCCTCTCGCTTCTCTGGGGGGTGGTGGTGGTGGTGTTTGAGGAGAGGGAAGCTGTTGGTAGAAGAAGGGGAAACAAGAGACCTGTCCAAATGCTGCTTGTGCCCTTGGCATCATACGAGACATTAAATGCTGCCTTGAAAATGAAGTACAAGGGCTAGTGGTGGAGAAAGGCCTGGGCTTGGGATGTTTCTCTCTACTAACACTACAGGGACCCAGATTGTAAATAGGGATGGTAAATGAAGGTAGAGAGTAGACATGGCTGCTGGGCAGATCACCTGGGGCCCAAGCCCCAGCTGGGTGAAGAAGGTACTTTGGGAGTGGATCCCTCTGCTCCGGGCTATGAAGAAGACACTAATGAGCCTTGTGCTCCTTTTCCATTCTAGACACAAATCTCCGACACACCTGCAGGCGGATTATGGATATGGTGTCCAATCAGCACCCCTGGTTTGGGATGGAGCAAGAGTACACTCTTCTGGGGACCGATGGGCATCCCTTTGGCTGGCCTTCCAATGGCTTTCCTGGACCCCAAGGTATCTTTCCAGGAGTTGGTATCGGGACTAGTCAGGAAGCTAAATGTTTTGAAATCCTTGTGAAATAGATGGAATGCCTTAAATGAGCTGAGAGATTCGAGGTGTTTCTAGAACAGAAGGTCTCCAATAGCAGGCAGGATGTTGGCTAAAACTAACCCACAAGATGATGAAAGGCTACATTCAAATGCTCTGTTCAGCTTGTTAGTTTGCAGATGACAAACTCTTGTACAAAAGTTACAGAGCACAAGTTCAGACTGCTGGAAGGGCTTTCCTTTCATCATTGTGCTGTTCTTCTATTTCAGTGAAAAATGACTGCTGGGGCTTTTCCATTTAGCCTGAAATTTTGGAGAGTTTTATGTGCAATCTTCACAGAATTTGAGACTTTCTTCCTATTGGAAACTCATGTTGCCTTTGCTATCCATCTGTGCCATTGCAGGTCCATACTACTGTGGTGTAGGGGCTGACAAAGCCTACGGCAGAGACATTGTGGAGGCCCACTATCGAGCGTGCCTTTACGCTGGGGTCAAAATCGGCGGAACCAATGCAGAAGTGATGCCAGCTCAGGTAAACTATTCTAGAAGTTTTGTGGAACTAGATGGTACAGAAAAATTACATGCAGTAGGAGATTTGCATGCCTCTGGGGCATGTGGCAGCATGCACCTTGCTGCCCATGTCTGCTCTGCTGAGCCCCTGCTTGTTCCTTCTTGCAGTGGGAGTTCCAGGTGGGACCATGTGAAGGGATTGAGATGGGGGATCACCTCTGGATTGCACGTTTCATCCTCCATCGGGTGTGTGAAGACTTTGGAGTCATTGTGTCCTTTGATCCCAAACCCATTCCTGGGAACTGGAATGGTGCTGGCTGTCACACCAACTTCAGCACCAAGAGCATGAGGGAAGATGGAGGTCTCAAGTAAGTATTTTTTCAAGCTGGGCTCATGGCATCAGCTTGCTGGGAGCAAGCTGGGTAGTAGCAAGCCTTTTGCAGAGCTTTGGCCAAGGGAAACGTCACTTTGCATTTTCATTCCTGAGGAGCTCTGGATTGCACACCGTGTGGTTGTCCATCCCCTTCTCCCACCCCCTTCCCTTCATATTGGCGCTGGGTGGGAAATTCAACCAGCAGTACAGCTCTACGCGTGCTGGTGGAAGTATGGATGGACAGGCTGCAGCTACCCTTTGCAGGTTGTCTAGCTCTGGACCTACCAGCACTGGTGGTGGGTTGGGGACCCTAACCTTAAAAAAGAAAGACTAATGCCAGGCTTAAAGAGCATTTGTGGTAACAAATGCTCTTGGCCAGGCTGGAAGCAAATACTGCATTCCTTAAACATGAAGATCCTAGAAATGTAAAACCCAAGTTGTTGCGTTTTGCTGGCCCTGATGTTCTGAGTAGCTTGTAGCAGATACGGCATCATCATGCGACTTGGGGAGAAGGTTGGACTTTCACTTGGACACTCAGTCCGGTGTGGCACAGGTATTACACTCAAATGCTTACAATGTTTTTTCCCCTCTTCCTTGCCCCCTTTGCAGGCACATTGAAGAGGCCATTGAGAAGCTGGGCAAGCGTCACCAGTACCACATCCGTGCCTATGACCCCAAAGGGGGGCTGGACAACGCCAGGCGCCTGACGGGCTTCCATGAGACCTCCAGCATCCATGAGTTCTCTGCTGGCGTGGCCAACCGCGGCGCCAGCATCCGCATCCCCAGGAACGTGGGCCATGAGAAGAAGGGTTACTTCGAGGACCGCCGGCCTTCTGCCAACTGTGATCCCTACGCAGTGACGGAGGCCCTCGTCCGCACGTGTCTCCTCAACGAAACCGGAGATGAGCCTTTTGAGTACAAGAACTAAGCGGACTGTGCCTACAGACACCGCCTTCCCCCCACACTTCCCGCACCCCTAAACTTCCCTTCTAGATGTAATTCTGAGGGCACAAGATGCCATGTTTCGTGTCCCAATAACTCTTGTTGTCTTGGGGTGGGGGAGGAGGGAGAGTTTAGTTTTATCAATGTCTATTTGTCATTGACTCTTCAAAAGACAAGAGGAGGAGAGGATGTTAGAAAACTTTTAACCACTGTTTTTTCTTTTGTCTAATTCATCTGTACATCTGATGGGGATCCACTGGCTTCCAGGGACAGACCACACAAGCAGAAAGTGGGCAGACAAGTGAAAAGCTACCGTTGTCACTGGCTTCCCTAAAAGTCATGTTTGGACGTTAGCCTCATTGCTGGCTCTTGAAGGTTAGAGCTCTTCTGAGGAGAGGGGCTGTGATGGAGCCCAGCTGTCCCACCTGCATGGTGTGATGGAGGAATTTTCCACCTCTGGCCACCTTGAGGTTTCCAGGAATCTTCTAGCATTGAGCTCAGCATAGGAGCATTTGGAAGAACTCCTTGTTCTGTCACTGGAAGTCAACTGATCTCTTGCTCATAACACAGAGTGAAGTAGTATTTTTCTATTTAAATATAAAAACAAAAAAAGAAAGTGTTTTCTTTTTTTAAAAAAAAAAAAGAAAAGATGACTATGTTCCAATGACTTGGCCGGCTAGAGCAGGCAGGGTTCCTGAGGTTGGTGTTGGAGGGCCTCCAGGTAGGATTGAGGATGAGCTTGGAGGGCTCCTTGGGGGAGAATTGGATGAGGATTTTTGGCATGGCATGCAGTTTGCAAGCAGCCGGTTCCCAGACTTGGGAATCCAGCACTAACGTTTATCAGTGAAAGTTGAGCAGCCGTTAACTGCTCGACTGTGTGTATCGAAACAAGGAAGGTGTTCTGAACTATGAGTTGGCTGGTCAACTTAAATATGTTCTGGACAGAGCTGTGGTTTTACCTTTCCAGTGGGGTTAGCATGTCACTAAAGCAGGGCTTTTGATAAAGAAACACGTTTTAGATTTTTTTTTTCTTTTTTTCGTTACGTTCTTGGTTTCTAAAACTGAATGGTTTTACAGAGACCATCAGTGTTACTGTTGTGTTCTGGCTCTCAGACTGCCTGCCATCCAGCCATGACAGTGCTCGTGAGAATGGAGAAGCTATCAGCCTTCCCAGCCAGCCCCTGGCACCTCCCAGCTAATGCCAGGGGGTTCAAACGTTCCGGGATTTTATACTTGGGTATCTTAGAAGGTGCCAGTTATTCCGTTGCATTTGGACTTCGTCAGAATAGTTTTTTATATATATATAATAAAAAAAGTGAGAACAAAACCTTAATTCTGGCTTCCTCCTCTGTGATTCATTTTGGCAACTTCTTTATGTGTTTTCTTGACTAGCCGAAGAGAGTTTGACCTTGATACTCTGTGTGCTTTGGCTTTTCATTTATTTTTGCTGTAGAATGCCATGTATGCTTTCCAGCAAAATGGGAGCTTTCTAGATAGAAGGGTTTTTTTTCTTTGTGTGTGTGTGATTTTTTTTTTTTATATGTGTGTGTGTGTGTGTGTCTTGGGATGGGGTGGGGGGAAGGTGTGTGTTTGGCTGTTTGCATCCCTGAGTGGTTAATACTTGAGCTGAGCCTGGACTGGGTTTTTTTTCAGTTGGGGGAAGAGGCTTGCGGTGCAGACTTCCAGCCCCAGACTTGCATGTTCCGGCCAGATGTTCACGCACCTTCTTATGCTCTTCAGCACCAGCGTCCCAGGATGCAGCAGTCCCACAGAAAACAAAATGCCATCAGCTTTCATGAAAACTAGGGCTGGATAGAGAAGGGCCCTTCCCCATTTTCTCAGTGGAGGAAAATGCTGCTAGATTGGACCAGCCCTTGCTAGAATCCAGGCATCTAGAAAGGGAAGTGAGGAGCTGGATGTGCCACGCTGCTCCCAGGGCTCAAACCCATCTGCTTGTCTTGTGGCTCTGCTGCCTCAAGGTGCTTCCTGTGGGAATCAACAGATGCTGGGACGGGGCTGAACATTTCAGTGCCTTCCAGGCCTAGATCTGGATGAAGACAAGCCCCGAACCTCTGTTCTTGGAGGGCTCCCCAGGCTTGCGGTCACACCAGGAGTCTGGAGCCAGAAACACGAGCGCTGAGCCCAGTTCCTGCTGCGCATCCTTAAGCACAGTCATTAGCAACTGGGTCCTCCCCGGATGCTGCCAGCAAGCGGGGGAGTGTATTTAATTAATAGCCTGCAGTGGCTTGGGTTAGGAAGGGACTGAAGCAAAACAGGCACCGAGTCCCTTCCATGCCCATAGAGACAAGTGGAGTCACATCTGTGTGAGCTTTGCAGTGAGCTGCCTGGAGGATGCACTCCTCCAGGCTAGCCATCAGCGTGGTGACAGGAACAGGCTGAAGTCCTACGTTCCGTCACTTGCTTTAAATATAAATTTAGGACAGGTGCTTAAGATTAATGGTATCTCTTGTGCTCTTCTGAAAAAAAGCATTTATGCATTCACTTCACAATTACCCAGTTAAAATGCAGCCTGAAACAATGAATATTGTGCTCTAAAATGGCTCTTCAAGTGAATATTAACAAATCTAAAAATGATAATGCTGAGAAAAAACACCCTCTTAGAGAAAAAAAAAAAAGGAAAAAAAACCCTCTTTTTCTTTAGAAATTGTTTTCTGCCTCTTGCCTAAACTTCATGGCCAAAACCTACTCTATAGTTACCTAAACATTTCTTTCTAATCATGCAGGGTGGAAAGGTGAGCTCTGGAAACCCGGAGATATCGACCCTCAGGAGTTGAATTTACTGCTAATGTAATTATATAGAAAGTTTTGGCTTTTACTCTAAGCCTCCTAGGAGGAAGCAAGTCCTTTTTCTATGTATTTTGAGGACATGGGAATAAACAATGATACAGAAATAGTCATTGTACAGAAGAAAATGTAAGTATCAGCCCCAAGGGCTTGCTAGGCACATCAGCATGCCAGGGAACTGCTGACTTCCCTGAATGAAGCAGGAAAAATAGCACCATTTTTTTAAAGTGTTTGTTGGTTGCATTCCCTTTTAATCAAATACCAGCTTATGAGACAAAGTCGCTCCAAAATGCTTAATAGATTTGCTAACAGGCCAGGATTCCCCTCCTCCCCCAATTCCCCAGAGCTGAATTTTAAGGCAATCAAAACAAGCCTAGCCCCAGCTCCCTTCACATGGAGCCTGCAGCGTCTTTTAACTCTTGGCTGTGCCACCCCAGCTACCTTGGGCATGCGAGGCTCTCTTCCTGAGAAGCTTTGTGAAGCAGGTAAGCCCGGTTGGGTTTCTTCTGACCGTTTACAGTTTCACACACTCTACCACCACTTGATATTTACATGCCCATCTCCCCCTCTTTTTGCGCGTGTTTCCATACAGCTATTTGATCTCTCTGTATCTGTCATTTTGGACAAATTAGCCTTAATTTCTCTGTGCAGTCTCAGCTCCTAGATGTGACCTGAACAGACTTCCTTGAGGAGATGCAAGCTGACCTCAGGTGGATAAAATATTATTGAACTGTCTTCTGGATGCTGTTTCTTGGGGAAGGAGAGGCATTCCTTGCTGTCGTTAGGCAAAACAGTTTGTATTTCTCTAGATGGACCATGAGGGCATTTCTCTGGGGAACCTTGGCTAAGGCCTGTGAGTCAGGGGTCTTTGGGGAGCATCTGTGTTGTCCTGGCTTGACTGTGGCCTGTAAAATCATGGTAGAGTTCCTGATGTCCGATTCAAAAACAAGCCACCAGGAGCTTTAAGAGCCTGTTCTAAAAACCCTGTGTGGTTGTGAATGCATGGCCACAGGACTGAGCCTGATGTTATCAGAGCAACCCTGCCTCGTTCTGTTCAGATGCAGCCCGGAGGTCCTGCAGCTCATCTGACTGCTCCTTCTTCCTGTGAACGCGCAAAAACTTCTCTAGATGGAAGAATGATAAATACCTCAATTAGCCGGTGTGCTTCCAGCCTGGAAGCGCTCAGCCAAATAACAGACCTGGTCAAAAACATAAAACTCTCTGGACACCTCTGAATAACTTGTGCCATCACGTGGAGTCCAGAGAAGGTGGTTTCCCAGCCCCAGCTGGGATTAACTCTTGTTGAGCTGCGTTGTTGCAGACTGGTGAGGAGCAGGAGGAGAGGGGTTGGTGATCCTTGCCCTTCTCGAAGGAGGATAGCAATCACTCAGGAAAAGCACATCGGACAGGGCGAGGGGACACAGATCGAGTGTGGCAGCTGGGCAGTTCCCATGCTTACAAGTTCATGCTGAGAAAGGTAGTGGAGCTGGGAGGGGAGGGATATCAATAATTCCACTTTAGATCAGCCGGGATTTCATGAGGCCTGTTCAGTAAGCTGCACTGGAGACACCCACTCAGGAGATAAGTGTGCCTGGTGGGAGCTCTTGGAAGGGGAGGGGAAGAGATTTTCTTAGGACTATGTGGCAAGTGTGCACTGGTGTGCTAGCCACCTTGTCTGGCTACTCCAGTCACCTGATTGCAGAGCCAAGACCCATGGTAGCCATACCACCAAGAAGAGGTCCTCTGTACATCAGCGATTCTTCTGCCTTCCTCCTACCTCTTGAGGAGTGACCAGCCACCATGCAGTGTGACCTGTTTCATGGTACTGGCTCTCACAGCTTTTAAATTGAGTCCTGAATCTGTTCCCTCATGCTGCGTTTCGGACGGGAGTTATTTTGAGGAGTGGCTGGGCCAGCACTCATGGAAAAGCAGAGCAGAATCAGCTTTGGGTTATGCTTGGTCCCCTGTGCCTAAGAAGAGGGAATAATGACCCTGTTTCATTAGCATGGACCTGTTTGGACCTCTTTGGACCCATTTACTGATAAAAGGGCAAATCCATTCATGGGAGTTAAGGTTCAGAGAGACAAATCCATTCATGGGCGTTAAGGTTCAGAGAGACAAATAGCTTTCCCAAGGTCATGTGGAGTGAGGGGTGGCTATTAGTCACCAAGTGATGTCACTCATTTGGCCCATTTGGATGCCTAAATGCATCACTTCTTAATTGTCCAGTTCACAAATGATGGTGATCTAATCTCCTCGTGACTTTGCTCTGACCTAGTGGGGAGATGTGCAGGGACTGTGCTCATCTCCTGTGCAATGAACATGCAGGAGAACTTGCAGAAAAAGGGTCTGGGCAGTCCCAGCCTCATTGCTCTCCAATCTTTCCAGGATTTCCTTCCCTGCTGGATGAAAACATGGCCTGGGAACTCTCCTGGTTGGTTCTGGACCTGTGTTCGGACCCAAGACTGGGTACTTCTTGCACTTAGCCTCCCTAGACCTTGAGGCTTTATGTTCCCAAACCCCTGGCCAAGGGTCAATTGAAATGGTGCCCCCAGACAATCCCCTCTTCTGAAAATGCAGAACCTGCAAATCACT